GTAAATTTAGAATGTCACTTGAAATTACGTTTACAATTTCGTTTGATTTTTTAAAAAACCTCGACGATTATGTACTGGTATGATCTTCTCTTTACAGATACAGTTTGACCAAAAAACAGGATTAGCGTCCCTCTTCATAATACTCTTTTTAAATGACTAGAAAATGACTAAAACTATAGTTTTCATTTTAGAAGGGTTCTTTAAAGTAGATTGTCGTCCATTATGCTTCCATATATCATAAAACTATGTCGAATATTAGAAAACTTATCTGTTTACCTAAAAAAATTATTTTAATTATTCGTGTCAAAACTAAATTCCAGAGAAATATAAGTATGTTTGGAAATAATATTTATGAATACATAAATTGATCACTATATGTTGTTAAATTATGTATCAAAGAGGCTCCATTTTTGGTTTCTAAAACAATGTTGGTTAGCAAAAGTAAACAGAGAGATTTTCGAATATTCGTTAAAGTTTTACAACAAATAAAAGAGTTAGAAAAGTAATGCTTGATTAATGAAATCAAAGATCATCCAAGATATTTTTTTCTCAGAAAATCTCTTTGAAAATTAATCATTTTTAAATGTTGTTTATCTTTAATAGAGCCTTTAAGATTTATGCGTTAAAAAGAAAGAATTGCAAACCTTTAATTGTTTTAGTTTTTTGGAACAGTTTTTTAGTTTCCTGTTAGTTGGCAATTAGAGTAAGTATCTTGTGAGAAGGCATTATATTATTGACACCCTTACAGAAAGCAATGATTTTCTTTAATGGAATCAATTTCTATTATTTGGGTATTTTTAGGGTAAACTAAATGCCTTATTACCTATTCATTGGTATTAGTCTTGTACTTTTTAAAGATAACTGAGGTTGAAAATACCCAAATAATTTGTTTTTCCTTAGAGTTTTGTGAAATGAGGAAATTCCAATTTCGAATAAGTAACTTTAAAGGACTGTGTAGAACTTATCCATCTGTAGAGTACTATGACCCCCCTTCCAAATGCCTTGATAGCGCCTCTGATTTCTAGAAAACACTACTCAACAAGATGCTGATGTAGAGTAAAGATTAGTTTCCAATTGGTTCTCGATACCGCCCCCCTATTAGGTTTATTCTTCGGCTAGTGCTATTTTATACTATTTAGTTCCTTTTACGTGTGACGTCACATTAGCAGGAGGGCAGGCGGAAGCTGAGATGAAGCAAGGTTATAATGCAAGGAAAGTTATTTCAGAGGTGTGTCATCTTTTTTATTGCAGCGTACTGTCTCTGGGCGGTAATGTAAACACAAGACGGATGTCGAAGCCTGACATGGGATCCATCTTTTACATCAAAAATCGATGAAATATTCTGGTCACTAGGAAACTATTATGTGAATTATCAAAATTATCAAAATTTAATGTTTTTTTACTTCCTTGGATACTAAACGAACACTGATGCATCTATTCTTGATTACAAATTCCGCCCATAGAGAACTGGTTTCATTATATACGCAGAGTATCCGCAACTGCAATTAACTGTCCTTGCATTATAACCTTGAGATGAAGATAGTAGGGGGAATTGAGTAAAAAAAATATTAGAGGGAAATTGAGTACATAAGTTTTTCTTTGTATTTTAGCGGGGTTATAGACTTTTCAAGTTGGACACACTTTTAAGGCAAAAAAAACATTGTTTGAGCATAGTTTTTTTTCTTGAAATTTGTGATGAAAAATTTGGCGAAAGACAAAAACCAAAGTTAAAAGATTTATGTCACTTTGGACTTTTCATTATTGTTACCCACAAATTTGGCCAATCCGATTATTCTGTTTTAAAACCATCATTGTCCTAGATACATTTTAAAATATAAACATCTTTCTTGATTGTTATATATAAAGTAGAAATTTCTGTTTGTCTTTGTGTTTGTTTCGATGTCCAATCAACTTCCATGAACCCTTGGGCATAAAACTTTGATAGGGTAATACAGTAGAACCCCGGGAATGCCCTTTGCTTGGTTTAAAAATTTTAAATTGGGAAGGTTGACTTTTATTTGAAAATTTAGTTTCTAGACTACCCTGGTTTCCCAAGCTAGTTAAAGCTAGGTGTAAAGTAAAAAATCTGAAGTCTGTATGTCTGATCTAACTCATGAAGTCTGTATGTCTGATCTAACTCATGAAGTCTGTATGTCTGATCCTGACTCATTAAGTCTGTATGTCTGATCTAACTCATGAAGTCTGTATGTCTGATCTAACTCATGAAGTCTGTATGTCTGATCTAACTCATGAAGTCTGTATGTCTGATCTAACTCATGAAGTCTGTATGTCTGATCCTAGCTCATGAAGTTCTTGACTGATTTGTCTCAAATTGCGGAACTCGGTAGAATCAAGTGAATATTGTTAGATTTTCTTAACATATCCCTAGTCGGGCTTGGAGGGGGGGGGGGGCGTTTAAAGCTTCCCCCCCCCTTTAGTTTTTTGTTCTAGAACTCTCATTTTTCACACTATCACTGTGCAATTTTGTGACTTTTAAGGTTCAATGAAAAGAAATTTAAAGGATTTTTGGAAGAAAAAAAAACTTGAATAGGCAATACCTTTTGCTACAGCTACAGCTACAGATCTAAAAATAATATTTTTGAAAAGCCCTTACAAAAAGTGAATGTGTTACTATTTGATATTTGTTTAAAACAAAACAAAAACAATTTTCACATTTTTTTACCCTTTATTGGCGTTTTTTCATTTATCATTATCGGTCTAATTTTTTGGGCTATGAACATGCCTTTTAACCCAAAACGTATTCTCTAAGGCCCTTTTCTATGCAAAGATTCAGACCCCCCCCCCCAGGCTATACATAGATCCCCCCCCCCCAGCCTTTATAGGGTTAAGTGGGATGACTTTTATGAAGAAAGATTAGTTTTCAATCAAAGCTGGGTTCCCAAGCTAGTTTAACGTATGTATCTAAATATATTTGCAATCTTTAGAACCTGAATATATGAATAGATCTAAAGAGTTCGATTTTTGTATGTTTTGCAAGTAAATCTAAGTCTTGCATGCACTCCATTCAGTGATTTATAATTCCATGTCTTAGAGTAAAGGACCAATAATTAAGATTAATGTTGTACAAGCTATTCCTGGACAATAGTCGAATGATTAAACATTATAACTAAAATTAAAGGGACTGTAAGCGTAAATTTAAGTAGCCCTCCGTACAATTAAAGATGACAATGCCCGATTCACAACGTTACCCCTAAACGATTTTTCTGATCAAGATGAATTAGATATCAACGCTTGTAATTTTGAAAACTGGCAATTTTTAATTGTGGGTTCGCTACAAACGTGACTTGAGCAATTTTACTGAAGGAAAACATATGTATATAAGAGTTATCAGAATTTAACTTTTTCGACCTAGAAAAACGACAATATCTTCCACATTTTTTATCAGAAACAGATTTCGAAGCTTTACCGTTTTGAATTGGGGATCGGGAATAAGGGATCGGCGAATTTGCACTGCAAAGTCACTGATTCCCTAAGGGCACTGAGGGCACTGAGTCCTTAAAGGCACTGAGGGCACTGAGTCTTAGGGGGCTCTGAGTCCCTGAAATTAATATTTTCACTTGAAATTACGTTAAGCTGCAGTTTCTTTTACTTTTCAGCAGAAATATATTTACAGTCTGTTTTATATTACCTATGCTCTTTCGACTACGATTAGAAGTAACCTCTTAGGTATCTCCATGAGCATATAATTGAATGGATATATCATTGATGATCTAGTTGGGGTGTCATTCAGTAAATTAGACATTGGACCTTATGGACTTATAATTTGTCTTTGATTTTCGTAAAGTTAATAGTTGTCAAAACTCAAAAGGAGTCTAGAAAAAACATTATAAGTACTTAACCCTTTTCAGGCCATGAAGTCTGGTTTTGCCAAAATAGTCTGGGGGGGGGGGTCCCCTCCCCCCTCTTTTTCCTTATTATGCAGATACAAATCTTTAACATTTGATACACTTTCAGAAAGTCCATAGGCCTTACTTTTACAATCTGCTAAAAAAATTGAAAATTTCAAATATTTATTGCAATATCAATTTATCTAGCAAAAAACTTGCAAAAACAAAAAGGGCGCGAAATATGATGAATTATACATTTTTGAAAAGCCCTTGACACAGCAAAGTCATATATGCAAAATATTTTCAAAATTTTCAAAAAATAAATTTGTATTTTAGGAAAACTGGAAATATGCAAATTCTCGAAACCATCCCTCATACTACACTCGTGATGTTTAAGGACCCAACAAGGTTTTGGGAAGATTTGGCAATGTAATATTCCCTCCTATATTTATTGCATCCCTATCGCCTCCCTGTAATGAAGAGATAAATAGTTCTTGGTTGTTTTTGATAAAATTTCTAAATATCTCAGTTAATTCTTAAGGTACAAAAAAGGCAGACAATATTTTGGAAATCTCAAAAAGAGGAGGCAATGTTATATTTACAAGATGTTAGCTACTGTATCCCATTTTTATTGCTCCTGGGCCCACTTTGTACTAAGACTCCTCTCTGTTAAGACTCTGAATTTCATGAAACTAATTTTGTTTAATGTACAAATTATTTTTCAAGAATGAACGATAAACAGAATGAAAATTTGTTAGAATGAAACCTAAATTTTCAGCTTAAAAGAAGTGTATTACGTCATACTTAATCAGAGAAAGGTGTACTGTACTGGGTACCGTTGTGGATCTAAATAGGACATACAAATAGATGGTCAATTGAAATTATGTCTGCAGTCCCTTTAAACAGCTTTTATAAGATTAATATGCAAAAGTTTCTGACCCAAGTAAAATCAAAATATATATAGTCAAAGGGTTCCATTATTTAAATTGTTTATAATAATCTTTATTCTCTAATATTGCTTGCTTGCAGCTATAGAAATTGAGTCTTTGCTACAAACTCTGGTTTTCTAATCCTTTATCTTGGCAACAAATTTCACAGACCTTAGATTTTCAAAATTTAAATTCCTGACAAAGTATGAAATATCAAATATTAGATTGCAAAAATATAGGAATACGAAAATTTGAGTTTGAAGAATAGCCTCAATTCTATTCCCTTGAAATACAGAACTACTATACAGGGTTACCAATGAACATGCCAATAACTTGAGTATTGATTGCTCACCACCTGCTAGGGAAGATCTCCGAGAAGGAGGGAGCGGAGGAGGATTTCTCTCCGCTCTCCGGGATACGAAATAGATAAAACCCCGTGGTATCCCAGAAAGACGGTTACTCCACTCTTGCCATGAAATTGTACGCACTTATCTTATGCCTGGTTGTTCCTGCCTTTAACCTGCCCCTTGAAGCTCCTGGTGTATACCTGGAGACAAGGTTGAACCAGGAGCAGGGTCCAAACATCAGATCTTTGATGGGTTCCCTAGCCCATCTTATCTCCAGGGACCCGGGATACTTTACCTCCTACAGCATAGGTAAATCACATTTTAATATTCCCGGATAATGATTCAGTAAAAATGGCAAAATAAATAAATATCATTGGCATAAATTAAGTCATTGTGTAATAAAAATTATGGATTTTCTTTTAAGACATCAAAGCATTTAAGTACCCTGGAATTGGGTTAAAATGAAAAATTGAACATTAACTGGACAGTTTTCTTTACAATATTTTTTAATAAAAACTTCACTAATTTGTGAAAACACCAATTTCCGATACAAACCCATTTTTTAAAAGTTTGGTAAATTATTTTTCAAGAAAATATTTACCCTTAAAAAGTTGAATGATTAAAATTATTTCATTGTTAATAGCATTTTAAATGTAATACAAATCTAGCACGTTTTGTTACATGATGATTTCACATTTCTTATAGCTAAACCTGATGAAACAAACGTATATATAATCCTACTGTGTATAGGTCCAGTACTACAGAATGAGGAGGAAACCTCAGAATTGAGATCCTTCTTGAACTCACAACAGCAACTCCTGGAAGAGCAGTTCAATGAGGAAGATGAGCCGCTATCAGCCCATATCAGAAACAATAGGCCCAAGAACAGGAAATCTGAAAGACATCAGTTTGAGAATATTCGATTAGCACTCCAAAAGACAATGGAGAATATTGAACGGCCTACCCTTCTACCAGAAGATTGGACAAACATGAAACATGAGAGTTCAGAGAAACTTGAAAACCAACTAGAACCTGACAGTCCTTTGGACATCTTCTACAAGGAGGAACACAAAAACAGAATGGTGGCCACTAAACAGTCCAGAGATGACCAACAGCTTCTTGAAGAGTCCAGATTGAGTCCCGGCTACTTGAATACACCTAAGATGAGCCGAAAGAAAAGGAACCCCCGCTGCCTACGGTCCTGTCTAAAGCGGGGATATCTGCATCCAGCCCAATGCCACATGCTGTGCTGAACCTAAATCTGGAGTTAAATATCCGTTGAAACGGTGTAAGAATGCTGTTCATATCCTGATTGCTTGACAAGTCTGTGTCCTGAGGTAAAATGGTTCTGGAACTACATCTACAAAACAATATGAGCCCTTGAACAAATCTGTGATTATTTTTTGATTAATAATAATATTAAAATGATGACTAGCATATATTTGAGCTAGCCATTCCCTCCACCACTCTGGTGTATTTAATTTGCGGTCTGTCTTGTTATACATATTTTAATAAATAAATACATATTTAATTCTTATATATATAATATCTATCATTCTTTTATTTTAGTAAACAGGGGCTGGATTACAATACACACACATGTCATTTGTAATGTTTTTGATACAGAAATAAATATTCTTTTTAATATTAGCAAACAAAACAATTTTTCGAGGGACTAGAGTAAAAGAGTAAAAAATATATTCACATTCATGGTGTATTTTTTTGTTTACCCTTGAAAAAGTTTTCTCTCAAAATCAAAAGTTTAGAAAAGCAAAAATGTGTATGTATATTATTTCTATCAAGCTCTAAAATTTTATGAAGATTGAATTACAGAATCACAGAAATCTGCAAAATTGTTTTAAGAAAATTGGCAATTTTCAGTTCTGGTCTAATTTTTAAGGAAAAGTTCTTTAAAGCCTCTAGTTTCTTTTTCTTATTATATTCTAAAGTTATTAATATACACTGTTCAGTTGAAACCTGAAGAGCCACTGAAAAACAACCTTTCCTTAAAAATTACACCAGAACTGAAAATTGCGAATTTTCTTATTACAATTTTGAAAATTTTCTGTGATTCAATCTTTATAAAGTTTTAGAATTTGATAGAAATAATTTATAAATACACATTTTTGCTTTTCTAAGCATTTGATTTTAAGAAAAAAAAGGTTTGCGGATTTTTCTTTTGCGCCATAGGAAAAAACACCATACAAGAGAGTTGCACAACAAAATTTACAATTTTGCTCCAGGTACCGCAAATCATACTTTTTTTTGACTCACCCTGTATATACATAATATCTTTCCATATTAATCATACTAATTTTCAACTGATCACATTACATTTCTAACACGAGGCAACTAATAATTTAAAATATCTCAGTAAGGAGGACTATTCATATTTTATAAGAATGAAGCTTGTAAAACATCTTAAATGTTGTAATAAGTAATTCAAACTAAAATTTTTGGAGTGCACTAAATAGAGGGTATAAATCTCGTAAATTTTGTGGATTATATAAATATTTCCCCCATATTTTAAAATCCAATTCAGGGGAAGAGAGTTCCAAACCGTGCTTAAGTTCAAAACCTGACACTGAATGTCAGGCTTGGACACACATATTATAATCAATGTTTTAGTAATTGTTCTTGGCCGAGTACTAAAATCATTAAATAAACTATTTACAATATATTATTATGGACGACGAGGATTAAAATAACACTTATTATTTTCTCAAATTAAATCTGTGAGTGACAATCCTTAATTTGAAAATATTAAACAATTCAGAACAGACAAAACTTTCAAAATTTTCAGAATATTAAGAATCATGAAAATATTTTGATCTTCCAAATTATTCTTAAAGGAATTGAGTCTTTGCCACAAACTCTGATTTTCTAATCACTATATCTTTGGAACCAAATGTTGCAGACCTTAGATATTTCAAACTATGAATTTTGTTGGATCAAATAATCTGAGTTTGAAATATCAAAGGTTTAAAACATGGAGTTCTAAAGATATTGAGGTTTAAATATTTGATTTTGTTCCAAAGACTCAATTCCTTTGTTGGCCCATTACACTTTTAAATAGGGAGATGATTTAAAGATTCCTTTATTTTCAATAAAAAATTTCCCGCATTTTTCTGTTTTATTTAATTGTAATAACAATATAAATATTAATATTGGAATTTTTCAAAGTTTTCAGTCGTAATATTTTGAAATATTATTTACATTTTATTGTTTCAATATTTAAATTCTACTTATGCAAAAAAAACTTGTTTTGCCACTAAATTGTGAAAATGCTTGAAAATATCATTCAAATCTGTGAAATGTCTCAAAATCGTGACATGTTCCAAAACGTGTTTTGCGCCGAAAGTTTGCATTTGCTTCAAAAATGTGATAAGTTATGAAATGAAATCAATTATCATCAAAAATTGGAATTATTCATTTTTAGGGGTTAATCAATTTTAGGGGTTAATCAATTTTAGGGGTTAAACAATTTTAGGGGTTAAACAATTTTAGGGGTTAAACAATTTTAGGGGTTAAACAATTTTAGGGGTTAAACAATTTTAGGGGTTAAACAATTTTAGGGGTTAAACAATTTTAGGGGTTAAACAATTTTAGGGGTTAAACAATTTTAGGGGTTAAACAATTTTAGGGGTTAATCAATTTTAGGGGTTAAACAATTTAAAAGATAACTTTGCACATTTGTCCCAAACTTGACACTCAGTGTCAGGTCTGGGCCAAATTACAGTTTGGAACTTTCTTCCCCTGCAATTCGATAACACAAAATGTCAAATATTAAATAAACTTACACAATTCTCGATTATTTAATATTTCATCTTAATTGAAAAAATTAAATGAAATAAAATCGAGAAAAGTTTGAACAAAAAAAAACAAGATTTTGTTGGCAAAATCGCTATCGTTAATATCAACAGAAAGTTTCTATTAATCTGGTTCTCATAGAAAAATTGAAGCCGTAAAAAATAGTTTAGTTCTCTTCCGTTTTACAAACATTAGATTACTTTGAACCACATTTGTATAATTATTCCATGACTAAAGTAAATTATTTGTCCAGGTTTTTTTAAGATACATACAAATTTACAAAAAGTAATAGTTTTTCTTTATTCATGTTTTAATGCAATGTTCAGAAGAATCTATTTTCCGGGGTCTGCAGTCTGCACACCATATTCTCTTAAACCTAAAAATACAGTACAGTGGTAACCAGAAAATAGTGGAATGATTGTGTTTTGTATATTTTGATTTGTGACAGCTTTTTTTCCAAAACATTTAAGGACATTTTTCAGTCTTTGGGGGAAAGTAGCCTGCCAATTACAGAGTGGCATTTTCGATTTACAACAGGACTCTTTTAATCTAAACAACTCTATAGACGAAGATCTATTTTAAATCCCGTCAACAGTCCCTTAAACAGTTACAAATTACAAAATACTCGGACAAAGGAGTTGAGTTTTTGCCACAAACTCTGATTTTCAAATCTCAATATCTTTGTAACCCAATGTCGTAGACCTTAGATATTTCAAACTATTAATACTTATAGACAAAATATTCTAAGTTTGAAATATCAAAGGTTTGCACCATCAGGTTGCAAAGATATTGAGATCAGAAGATTTGAGTTTGTGGCAAAAACTCAATTCCTTTATGAATAAAAAGAAAACGGAAATAATTTTCACAATTTTCTGTTATCTATTAAAGTTAACATTTTTTCATTTAAGAAGTTTATTATTTGTGGAATTAAAAAAAAAATATTCTAAAAGAGTTGAGTTTTTGCCACAAACTCTGATTTTCTAATTTGTGTATCTTTGTAACCCAATGTCGAAGATCTTAGATAAATCAAACTATTAATACTTATACAGATAAAATAATTTAAGTTTAAATTATCGAAGGTTTGCACCATCAGGTTGCCAAGATATTGTGATCAGAAGATTTGAGTTTGTGGCAAAAACTCATTTACTTTGTTAAAAACCTTGAGATAGATTGGTCTGTGAGGAGGAGGTTTTCTTAAAGTTGAATTCAAACTCCTACAATTTATAATTAAACAAAATATGAAACTTGTACAGGAACTGGACCGACTCAGAGAGAAACAGCTTAACCGGCCACGTAAATTACGTTGAACCATTTCTCTTGCGCGCCAGGTCACGCCGAGAAAGGTGGTTTAGCTTAGTCTACTAGGGTTAACTCCATTAAATCTGGTTGCAAAGATATAGGGATAAGAAAATAAATAATTGTAAAAGCCAAATTTTTTTCAACTTGATTGGTATTTCATACTTTTTGCTTTGATAGCAGAATTCATAGTTTGAAATGTTAAAGGTCTACAACATCAGGTTGCTCAGATATAAGGATTAGCCAACATCAGAGCAAGTCAACATTAGAGCATATGAAGAAAATAGATTAACCTTCTCTGGGAATTTCCATCCGTTCACTGAACCTTCGCTTTCATCTTCAGTCTGTACACCGGTATCCCTAGATATAATAAGATAAGAAAAGATAAGATAAGATAAGATAAGATACGATAAGATAAGATAAGATAAGATAAGATAAGATAAGATAAGATAAGATAAGATAAGATAATATAAGATAAGATAAGATAAGATAAGATAAGATAAGATAAGATAAGATAAGATAAGATAAGATACCTATGAGAGCTTGTTTTTGCTGGTATAATAGGCCCAGAGATGATTTGATTTAACACTGTGAACCTTGACAAAAATCTTCAACCTTAAAGCTGAATTTTGTTCTTAGATCTAAAACAGATGTTTTTCAATCTAAAATAAAGCAAACCTAATAGAAATATAATAAATATAATCAAGTAAAGGAACATGAACACTTGTATCAGAGTCTAAATTTCCTATAAATATATCTTTGCAACCTGGTGGTGTAAACCTTCAATATTTCAAAGTAAAGTTTTCACCAAGGTTTCAAGGAAAATTAAAGTTTGATGCAAGTAATCAGTTCCACCCTTGAAGTACAGCTGTTACTCATTTCTCACCTATATACTAGCTCCGATATCCCAAGTATAAAGAGTTCAGGTTCTGAACCAAACTTATCCATCCTGGAGACAACATTACTCTTAGCTAGACAATGATATTGAATAAATCTTACTAACAGAGTCTCAGTTTCTATCCTGGAGACAACATTACTCTTAGCTAGACAATGATATTGAATAAATCTTACTAACAGAGTCTCAGTTTCTATCCTGGAGACAACATTACTCTTAGCTAGACAATGATATTGAATTAATCTTACTAACAGAGTCTCAGTTTATATCATTAAATTATTTAGAGGGACTGCACTTAAATAAAGATTTGTTTGAAAAGTTTCATAAATTTTCCAGACCGGGTCGACTTTAAAATGTTGCTACGCTTTGGTATTTCATTTAATCCCACAAACTTTTCTATACTTTATTGTAGCCCTAGAAATGTTATTTTAATTACCAAAAAAGCACTTTGATTAGGATTCTGCCTATAATATCCCATTCATTTCCTTTGATTATGATTCTGCCTATAATATCCCATTTCATTTCCTTTGATTAGGATTCTGCCTATTATATCCCCTTTCATTTCCTTTTATTAGGATTCTGCCTATAATATCCCCTTTCATTTCCTTTGATTAGGATTCTGCCTATAATATCCCCTTTCATTTCCTTTGATTAGGATTCTACCAATAATATCCCATTTCATTTCCTTTGATTAGGATTCTGCCTATAATATCCCCTTTCATTTCCTTTAATATGGATTCTGCCTATAATATCCCCTTTCATTTCCTTTGATTATGATTCTGCCTATAATATCCCATTTCATTTCCTTTGATTAGGCTTCTACCTATAATATCCCATTTCATTTTCTCTGATTAGGATTCTGCCTATAATATCCCCTTTCAATTCCTTTGATTAGGATTATGCCTATAATATCCCCTTTCATTTCCTTTGATTAGGGGTCTGCCTATAATATCCCCTTTCATTTCCTTTGATTAAGATTGTGCCTATAATATCCCCACTCATTTCTTTTGATTAGGAGTCTGCCTATAATATCCCCTTTCATTTCCTTTGATTAGGGGTCTGCCTATAATATCCCCTTTCATTTCCTTTGATTAAGATTGTGCCTATAATATCCCCACTCATTTCTTTTGATTAGGAGTCTGCCTAAAATATCCCATTTCATTTTCGCGTAAACTCTTTTTAAAGGAAATGTTTTTGTTTGTCTAAACCAAATTAGCTTTAAAATCCCTTGAATTGAATTTGAAGAAAATGTGTCCTAATCTCCTACTGGTTCTTGAATCCATTTTTTCTCAGGAACTTAAAATAAAATCTTATACTTAGAACAATCAGAAATCAAATCGAAAAATGAAATTTAAATTGAAGGTTTTCAAAATCAATTACTCTATGTAACTTATTGTGCTTGTGCATGAGTGGAATCGTCAAGTCAAAAATGAATAATACAATTTATGTAAAGTAACTCTAAACTGTAAATTTTAAATTAAATGTCTTGGTTTTTAGTCTCAGAAAATTAACTTTTTTGGCATCCCATTAAAACATGACTCATGACACAATAATTCATAATCTTTATTTCACAAATATGCAATGATTTAGAATGTGAACTTTAAAATAATATTATATTCTAAAATATTCAGAATTTAGGCAAATTTTGTATTAATATATATATATATATATTCTATTTACAGGGTTTCTCTAAAAGACAGAAGTTGATGTCAAAGCTTCAATTTTAAACTGATTTTTTATATTTTGATCGTTGAAGATTGAAAACTTTCCGATCTAAAGAGGGCAGACATTTTAAACGGTTGAAATTGTAAAAAATCCATCGTTTTTACAGATTTTCATGATCCATTCTAAAGCTTTAATTTTGAACAGATTTTCGTTTTTGGCACATAAAGTAGACATTTTTTTAAATTTTCGAATCCTATTATCATGGTCGTCGCAAATCTTGTTTACAATTGAAGTTTTAGAAAGTACTTTAATGTTTTAACGGGACAAAACAATTTACAAATTTCCATTTACCTCTTACCAAGGTAATACTGCAAGGAAATTTTATTGCAGTCGCGTATACTCTGCGTACATATAGAAACCAGTTCTCTCTGGGTGGAATTTGTAAACAAGAATAGATGTATCAGTGTTCGTTTAGTATCCGAGGAAGTTAAAAGCATTTAATTTCGATAATTTTAAAAATTCACATAATAGTTTCCTATGACCAGATTATTTCATAGATTACTTTTGTGAAAATGGATTCCATGTCAGGCTGTGACATCCGTCTTGTGTTTACTTTTCCGCCCAAAGACAGTACACTGCAGTACAAAAAATGCGTACACCTCTGAAATAACTTTCCTTGCATTAGTACCTTGCCTCTTACAAGGTTTTTGGTTTGCATTATTAGATCCAAAATTTGATGCTGATTGTTGTAATGTTCGTAAAAAAGAGCCCGGTTTGTAAAGTGATTCAGATCTAATAAATTACTAATAATATATTATGCGTAGGAAGAAAGTGTAATAATCAATATTATAACAATAATTTTGATTATTACACTTTCTTCCTACGCATAATAATATTATACCACATTCTTGGAGGATTTAAATGCATTCCCAGAATTAATTGTTTTGTACACGGATATATGACGTAATGTGTTTTGTACACGGATATATGACGTAATGTGTTTTGTACACGGATATATGACGTAATGTGTTTTGTATACGGATATATGACGTAATGTGTTTTGTATACGGATAACTATGACGTAATGTGTTTCCTGTCTGGAGTTGAACATTGATAAAGGTTTCCTTTCCACTTCAGCGTTCCTAGCAGAGGGTTTCCAGGAAGCAGGAAACCATCTTGAATAAAAAGGGTGTCTAGAAAATCTTATATATTATACCATCATTATACTACAATAAGATGGTAGAATCTCAGAAACCTTTGATTGAATATCAGAATATGCATATAATAACAACAGAACAATACCAAAAAGTTCGGCATTTTAAAATTGCTATATGAATTTAAATATTTTTTCCACATTGAGTTACTAAAGCCTTTTACAGATTCATTGAAATGTTTCATGACCTATAACATTTGAAATAGTGCCCGATTTACAACGGTACCTCTTTAAAATTTATCTAAGCATACACGGGAAAAGTTTGTTTCTTAAACCCCAATTAGATTTTTTATTTTTAAAATGGAAACCCAAAGATATTAGAGTTTTTCTCAGATAAAGGCTCAAAGAGAACCGATGTTAATCGGGCAAGCCGATCTAAAAATGAAGAGACACATTAAGTTACGTCTACAGTCCTTTTAAAGAGGAAAAGTACATCCGGACAGAGGAGCTACTGGACTGAATCCGTTGTATCGAATTCTACGTTAGGACAGCAAAGAAATTGGACAGAATTCGGTGTATCGAATCCGACCTCCGGACAGAAGAGCGACTGGACAGAATTTGTTGTATTGAATCCTAACGCCGGACAGAAGAGCGACTGGACAGAATCCGTTGTATCGGATCCTACCTCCGGACAGAAGACCGATTGAAAACAATCCGTTGTAATGAATCCTACCTCCGGACAGAGAAGCGACTGGAAAGAATCCATTGTATTGAATCCTAACTCCAAACAAAAGAGCGACTGGACAGAATCCGTTGATTGAATCCTACCTCCGGATAGAAGAGCGACTGGACAGAATCCGTTGTATTGAATCCTACCTCCGGACAGAAGAGCGACTGGACAGAATCCGTTGTATTGAATCCTACCTCCGGACAGAAAAGCGACTGGACAGAATCCATTGTATTGAATCCTACCTCCAGAAGAGCGACTGGACAGAATCCGTTGTATTGAATCCTACCTCCGGACAGAAGAGCGACTGGACAGAATCCGTTGTATTGAATCCTACCTACGGATAGAAGAGTAACTGGACAGAATCCGTTGTATTGAATCCTACCTCCGAACAGAAGAGCAACTGAACAGAATCCGTTGTATTGAATCCTACCTCCGGACAGAATCTGTTGTAATGAATCTTACCTCCAGACAGAAGAGCGACTAGATAGAATCCGTTGTATTGAATCCTACCTGTGGACAGAAGAGCGACTGGACAAAATCCGCTGTATTGGATCCTACCTCCGGACAGAAGAGCGACTGGACAGAATCCGTTGATTGAATCCTACCTCCGGACAGAAGAGCGACTGGACAGAATCCGTTGTATTGAATCCTACCTCCGGAAAGAAGAGCGACTGGACAGAATCCGTTGATTGAATCCTACCTCCGAACAGAAGAGCGACTGGACAGAATCCGTTGTATTGAATCCTACCTCCGGACAGAAGAGCGACTGGACAGAATCCGTTGTATTGAATCTTCATCCTGTCATAATCCCTCGCATCCCCTAATAAAACTTATGGGTTGGATTTATAATAATAATGTTATATGATTTATAAAATTTTAAAAAGTATTTGTGTATGTTTGCAGAAAAACAAATGTATTTTAGAAGTACATTTATTGCGTCTAGATAAAAATACATAATGAATAACATTTTTTTAAAAGGAGAGGAAGATCAACAGATCTTCTCTGGTTCCAGAATCCGACACTTCTGATTTCATCCCCTACAGTGTATAATTTAATAATATATATAGCTTAGTACTGTCTATAATGTGAATTAAAAGTTACATACGTATACTACCCAATACTCCTAGATAATTTATAGTTACATACTTTTACTACCCAATACTCCTAGATAATTAATAGTTACATACGTATACTACACCATACTCCTAGAATTAATAGTTACATGTGTATATTACCCCATACTCCTAGATAATTAATAGATACATGCGTATACTACCCAATACTCCTAGATAATTAATAGTTACATGAGTATACTACCCCATACTCCTAGATAATTAATAGTTACATGCGTATACTACCCCATACTCCTAGATAATTAATAGTTATATACGTATACTACCCCATACTCCTAGATAATTAATAGTTACATGCGTATACTACCCAATACTTCTAGATAAAACAGTCGACCCTTTTTAATCAAGCTTCCGATAACCTATATAAATTGAGTTTTTACGCCCTTTAAAAAATTGTCTACGAGGTTTTCCATACCTAGTTACATTATAGCTAGCTAGCTGTATTTGTATGTAGTCCTGTATGGTGATAACTAAAAAGTTTTTATTAAATTTTTAACGTTTTTTAAAAGGTTTCACGCAAATTTAAGAGTTCTAATAAATATCAAAATTGTTTACTCGGGACATTGTAAAGCATATATCTATTTCAGTGGTTCCGTTTAAAAGTGAAGAAAAAAACAATAACTACAGCTTTCTCGCCTACTAAAATTGTCGTTTTATTTATGTAATAAAATAAGACATTCGTATAAATGTTCCCTCTGGCTGGCCAAACGGCTGGAACGAATGGGCTGACATTTTTAGTGGACACTTATCGGAAGCCTGGGGGTGAAAAAGGCTCAAAAAATTTTTCACATTTTTTCCCATCTTGTTCTCAAAATTAGATTTTTTTCCATGAACACGCCTGGCCCTTCAGCTTGTTGTCCTCTAAATTGTGTCTATCAGGGGCAATGTCAAGAAAAAGCTGGTCGTCGACTAAAAATATTTTGCTCTAAAATGCCGTTTAAAGTAGGCCTCATAATCGAAAATGTGCTCGGTTAATGCAGGCATTGAACCTGTGGAAATAGTTGAAGTTACAATAAAACGACGTTTAGTAGGATGAAAAGCTTGAACACTTTATTCAGAGACACCCTGTACGAGTTAGTTGAATTATTATGTATCCATAATATATAACTTGTCTGAATTGGGCAATAGGGAAAATAGTAATGCTAAGTATGAAGTATGTGTACATAAATCAAATTATAGACACGTGTCTATTAAATGCATTAGCTAATACCTTTATTGCGTTCAATCCCGTAAATATAATCATATTATAGGATATCTATACTTAAAATCAATTATTTATATTTGCTCTAAGAAATAAGTTAAAACATTACTGGGCTTTTTGCGCCCATTTTCCATTTCAATTGTAATTGTGGCTTTATGTGTGAGCATCTTCTCTTTGTACAGTATAAAACAAACAAACAAGTTTGCGCATTTCAAAATGATTTTTTCGCGCATTTTCAAAATTTCACAAAAATAAAAACTTTTAAAACTCAAATTTTTGAAATTTTGGTCATTTATAAACCTTCTCTGGGGTCACGTGAGGTCCCACACGTAGGATAAAAACTGACAGACAAACAAACAGACAAGCTAAAGTATTTGCAAAGACGGTAAAATAGTAGAAGATAAGGCATTAGGAATTTATCCGAATAGTGTTTACGCTCTATACACTTTTATATGACATAATTGTTGGTGGTGGAAATGCTTAAAAAGTACTAAAATCTTTTTAAATTATAGAAAAGACGACATTCTATGGTTTCTTATTGAACCCGATTGAGGTGTCTGGTTTTGCGTATAAATCCCAATGCCTACTCTTTATATTACAAAGATCTTTGAGTATTTGTATAGATGCAGATGACCAGTATATTGTATAATGTATATTTAAAAGGACCGTTTACATTTATGAAACTTCTTAATAAAAACACATTGATTTTACGAATGAAATATAGTTTTTGTCCCTTGCTTCATGACAGATTTAATGCACCTAATTATTTTCCCATTGAATTAAACCATTACACCGAAAAAAACAAATGTAAATGACGTTTATGAGTCTTTTTGCTTCGCTTGGCACGGTATAAGGGAGTAAAGTAAACTTTTCCTTGTTTTACCTTTTTTATCTTTCTCTCAAATGATTTTTAAGAGTTTGAATTATTTATCTTTCAAACAGGCACCCTTCTTTGATTAAAGAGTTGCACGTCTAATACACAATGTTATTCTTGAAGCTTTGCCTGGTCAAGTATTAAATATGAGCTCTTGCTTTTTCCTTTGTTTTAAAAACTATTTATTGTCATTCGTTTCTTCCTGCAAATTCTTGCTTCAGAAACGATGGAGAAGAAACGACTTCACATATTAGTGATAAGATTACGGTTCTAAATGTAACGTGGTGAATCAGGCATGTCCCTTTAAATAGAGAAAGGTTACTTAAATTATGACCCCAGTCCTTTTAAATAAAAGAGGCGGTTCACATTTTTTACCGTTCTATAATTGTTACATGAAACTAGTACTTAGTGTTCTTCAAAAATCACGAGTCTTGCTAATTCTGAAGGTTTGATTGCTCACATGGTAAGATTTTTTAAACATCATTTTAAACGAAGAAAGTAATAAATGTCATATTTAAACTAATTTGTTTCTCAAGTACATATTTTCAATAAGAAATTATCGATGCAATTAATAGTAAAATTTTTAGTAGATTTCCTCAATTTCTTTAAATGTCGTCTTTGCAATGAAATTCAAGGTAATCTATGGGACAAGCTTTGGACAAGAAAAGAATATTACGTAAAGATTATATGATAACCCTTACGTTACGTTACGTATTCTAGATGATAAGAGATATTTTTTTTAAAAAGTTTAATAGCATAATCTTTATGTTATTACCGTTTTATTCTTATAAGTAAGTAAACCTAAATACTTATCCAACCTCATGATTTTTGAAGATCGATAGTTTGCGGTCTTATGTAGCAATTAGAACGAAATCACGTTTTTCGGTATCAAATTAATCCTGGTATTTTATTCAAGAATACTTCACTCTTAGTTTAGTTTTCCCTACCTAGCCAGTCACTCCCTTTAATAGATGTTATAAGACAGTTAGACCCATACAACTGTAGAATAGGTAGACGACTATAAGGCTCAAATTATGATTTTAAAATTGTCCCATGAACATAAAGAACATCAAATATGCAATATCAGTCCCATTTCATATAATAAATTGATTTTCAAGTTACTGACACCCCTTTTTCGTTTTCATGATCCAATTTTTTCGGGTTCCACTGTATAATACCTGGATAAATTACGCTGCAGACTAGAAAAACATAAACATTTTTTCATCATAAATATCTAGATATAAGAAAATAGTGGAATATCCAGATACAACTAGAAAATAGTAGTATATCCAGATACGACTAGAAAATAGTAGAATATCCAGATACAACTAGAAAATAGTGGAATATCCAGATACAACTAGAAAATAGTAGAATATCCAGATACAAACTAGAAAATAGTGGTATATCCAGATACATTAGAAAATAGTAGAATATCCAGATACAACTAGAAAATAGTAGAATATCCAGATACAACTAGAAAATAGTAGAATATCTAGATACAACTAAAAATAGTAGAATATCCAGATACAACTAGAAAATAGTGGAATATCCAGATACAACTAGAAAATAGTAGAATATCCAGATACAACTAGAAAATAGTAGAATATCCAGATACAATAGAAAATAGTAGAATATCCAGATACAATTAGAAAATAGTAGAATATCCAGATATAACTAAAATAGTAAAATATCCAGATACAACTAGAAAATAGTAAAATATCCAGATACAACTAGAAAATAGTAAAATATCCAGATACAACTAGAAAATAGTGGAAAATCTAGATACAACTAGAAAAAAGTGGTATATCCAGATAAAACTAGAAAATAGTAGAATATCCAGATACAACTAAAAAATAGTAGAATATCCAGATAAAACTAGAAAATAGTAGAATATCCAGATACAACTAGAAAAAAGTTGAATATCCAGATAAAACTAGAAAATAGTAGAATATCCAGATACAACTAGAAAATAGTAAAATATCCAGATACAACTAGAAAATAGTGGAATATCCAGATACAACTAGAAAATAGTGAAATATCCAGATACAACTAGAAAATAGTGGAATATCCAGATACAAATAGAAAATAGTGGAATATCTCAACTAAAGGGCGTATGCAGGGGCGGCAGGGGGTGCAGAGCCCCCCCCCCCCCAAAGAACTCAAAGATATCACACATAACAATATAATAAAATGTCGATATTTTTAAAAAATGTTTTTTCTGCTAGTTTTAAAGTAGTACTTGCAAGGTAATTGGACTATGGTCTAAACCTATATAAAGTAGAAATATTTAGGATACTTTTTTTAAACAACCATTTTGTTAAAAGTTTGTCAGAAGACGAAAATCATTACAATAATTTCTGTTTACCACTGTATTGATTGCCGATCAGTGTCTGATGTCTTACAAATATTCGTTGGAATTCAGTTCTGAGGAATTGTAATTGTGAAATGCCAATTCAAAATTATACATGTGCAAAATGTTGAAAATTGTCCGTTAACGTCGCTAATAAAATTGAGATCATTAAGTAACGGTAATTTTACAAACGGTAAATGCCGTTAACGGATCGAACGTTCCGTTCTTACCTTTAAAATTAATGGCTACCAAAATTTTTCTTTTTTAACGGTTGGAACTATAAACCGTTAACGAAACGGCTAGAAAAAGTTGGAACGTGCCCAGCCCTAGTAACACATGTTATTACATCCATTTTTCAAGATCTTTTTAAGCATATAAATTTTAGCCATGTAGCTTAATTAATAAAAACACTTATACACCATTTCTAATTTTTTGAAACACTGACCCGTCATTTTATTGTCCTCCGCCATACTCTTTGCATCCAAAAAAAAAAATTTGCTAAATTTGTTCACAACTATGAAGTTAAAAACGTAAAGAAGTATTAAAATTCTATAAATGCCGTTTTTGAGTTATTAAGAAAAAAAACACAAGGGGTGGAAAACAACTCCCCCCCCTTTCGTGATAGGGTTAAATCTATTTATTCCAGATATCTTTGCAATCTGATGAGGTAAACCCTTATTATTTCAAACTTAGGATAATTTTTTATAACAGAATTCATAGTTCAAAATATCTAAGGCCTACGACATTGAGTTGCGAAGATATAGGGATTAGAAAATCAGAGTTTGTGACAAAGACTTAATTCCTTTTTAAGTCCAAAGCTTAACATATTCCAACGTTTCTACATACTTCAACAAACATTTCTTAAATTGGAAATTTGGAAAATTGGAAACTTGCAGCAGAGACTTAATTTCTTTGAATCTTTAAAAAAATGAAATGAATGAAAATTCGAACTGAAAGGAAATTAGAGTTAGCTGTCGGGAATCCATCTCTGATTTGGTTGTTTTTTACGCAATTAGAATTGTAAAAATCCTGTCCCAAACAACCCATATAATTTGAATTTTACAAGAATTGTACACTTAAATTGACAACTTTAATCAATATGTCATTTATTGTATCGTACTGCAATTATTAGTATACTTTCACGTAAGTTATTGTTTACAACTTTTTTTTAAAAACTTGTATTCACCCTACAAGACATAATAATGTGAGATGTGATTCTGATAATGTTTCTACCATTTAATCTAAATCATCGTTTAAATTAAAAATGTTTATTCCTAGATTTTCTGACAGTCGATGCTCTGGATAATGGACACTCAGCCTTTCCTCGTCAGTCAGTAAATTCACACTCTAAACATTATATATAAACATTCTAAACATTGTTATCCTAAACAGTATGTAAACAATAAATATTTTGAACATTAAAAAAGCATTCTAAACATTATATAAATAATAAATATTCTGAACATTAAAAAAGCATTCTAAACATTATATAAACAATAAATATTCTGAACATTAAAAAAGCATTCTAAAATCTAAACATTATATTAACAATAAATATTCTGAACATTAAAAAAGCATTCTAAAATCTAAACATTATATTAACAATAAATATTCTGAACATTAAAAAACCATTCTAAACATTATATAAACAATAAATATTCTGGAAATTATTTGATATATTAAATCTATAATATTAATTAATCTTTACCGATCCAACAATCGTCCTAAACTACTAATTTTCTGATCCCTATATTTTATAGACTTTTGATATATTTAAAAACATGAATGCCTTTAGATTTTTAATTTTAAGATATCAATATTAGGTTGTAAATGTAAAATGTAAAATGAGAAAATTAAAATTATTTAAAACTACAGATATCCTGCAACCCAGAAATATCCCATTTAATGATTTCAAATAACATTTTTGTAAATTATATATTTTATATATGTTTTATATGTTATATACGATATATATATGTTATTTATGCTATATATGTTATATATGTTATATATGTTATATGACCAGTAATTTAGCGAACGAACAACGGAATTGAGTCATTCCTTACATCTAAACCTGATATTTCAAGCTTAATGGTTTAGCAGAATTCATTGTTTGAAATGTCTAAGGTCTACGACAATGAGTAACAAGGATAGGGATTAGAAAATTAGAATTTGCGACTCAATTACTTACCTGCGCCTAACTAAAGAAGTTTAAGGCTAAGCCGCTAGAAAAAACTGGCATCAAAGTATTTTTTAAGTTGAAAATATCGATTATTACATCATTTAATCATTGTTTATCCCCCCCCCCTTTAATTTGATATATTTTATTTAAAAAATATGACCTGTATTATTGGTTTGAGTTTATTAAGTGGAAGACAGTCCACACATTTTGTAAATTCTTGCAATCCCTTGAGCAAAAGTGAACATTTTATTACTCAACAAAAAATTGGGTTTTCTAATAGATTAATTAAATTCAAGCCGGAAGAAAAATAAGTCTGAAGTAAAAACACTATTGACTAATCAGGGTGAATTGCGTTCGGTTTCTTTTATCTAAATTCATTTGCGTTTTGGTTTTTAATTCACTAATCACGGTGGACTAGAGTGAATTTCAATAAGTACTGGCCCGACCCCCTAGTGACGCACAGCAAGTACCGGCCCGACCCCCTAGTGACGCACAGCAAGTACCGGCCCGACCCCCTAGTGACGCACAGCAAGTACCGGCCCGACCCTATCTTATTTCGGCTCTGTTTCAAATTTAAAGGCGCGGCCAGACTATTTACAATATACCTGGTCTATCACTATCATGGGTCTATTTCACCTACCCCACTAGCTTAATTGAGTGTGCAAACTTTAAACGAATGGCTTTCATTACTTTTTTAATTAAAACGCTTATGATTATATAAAACTATGATGGAGAAAAGACTATCAAATTATGAATAATAAGTCAAATTGGGATTGAAATTCATAGCTTGCTGAAAAACTAGGGAACAAAAAATATGAAAAAAAAACTATTTTATACCTGAGCAACAGAATTCAGCTTAGAGAGGAGAATCATTTCATCCTTGAACATATTGTTTTATACATAAGCTTTATATTTTATCTTATATTTAATTAACATATTTTAATTTTTTTTATATCATAATTAATAATATACAAACAATGCATATTTAAATATAAAATATATATATATATATATATGTATAAAATCATATAAAAGTATTTTATCTAAAGAAATATTAATGTAACATGAAATAATCCATTCTGAAATAAATTATATTTCCGCATATAATATCTTATTTTTTATTCTTAAACATTTTATATTTAATCCTAGTAAATTAAATATTTCTCCCGGCAACTTATGATATTTCACCAAATATCATATACTTGATTCTTTTAATGTATTGAAAGTATATTGGTACATTACAGTACCTATAGTAATAGCAGATACATTGTTTACATGCACTGCATGCACCATATATCTATGTATATATACCAGCAGTGCAGACCATATATCTGCTATAGATGCAATTTAGAGCAGGGCAGAATATACTCCAGCTCTGTATATGTATATATACCTGCAGTGCAGACCATATATCTGCTTTAGATGCAATAGAGTAGGGCAAAGTATACTTTAGCTCTACATATATATATATACCTGCAGTGCAGACCATATATCTGCTATAGATGCAATAGAGTAGGGCAAAGTATACTTTAGCTCTACATATATATATATACCTGCAGTGCAGACCATATATCTGCTAGATGTAGTAGAGTAGGGCAGAGTATACTCCAGCTTAATATATGTATATACCTGCAGTGCAGACCATACAATTGCATGATGTAGTAGAGCAGGGCATAGTCTACCCCAGCTCTATATATGTATATACCTGCAGTGCAGACCATATATCTGCTAAATGTAGTAGAGTAGGGCAGAGTATATTCCAGCTCTATATATATATACCTGCAGCACAGACCTTATATCTGATATATGTAGTGTAGTAGGGCAGAGTATACTTCGGCTCTATATATATATATATACCTGCAGTACAGACAATATATCTGCTAGATGTAGTATAAGCATGGCAGAGTATACTCCAGCTCTATATATGTATATACCTGCAGTGCAGACCATATATCTGCTAGATGTAGTAGAGCAGGGCATAGTATATTCCAGGTCTGCTGCTGTAAACTCCATGGCTGTCCACCAACCTATGGTTACCCAAAAAAGTTTGATTTGGGGCTATATTGAGGGAGGGGGGATAATGCGGCCATGAGCCCAGCAATATTCTGTTCGAACCCAGGTAGTTAGCAGAACCCTGCACGAACAGAATCCCGCGGAATCCTTTTCGAGACCAGCAAAAGACTGCTAAAAAACGTTTATTGTAAATGTAATTGACTTGAAAATAAAAAAATTCAAAAATGAAAACGTGAGGGAATAGTTTACATTCTCCTCTTAGCTTAAAAGTAGAAATCAATGCATTAAAACTCTTTTATTTTATGCAAAACTTTGTCTTATGAGATGTAACCAATACTTTAGATGAAATGATCTTAGTGGTGAATAGATGATATGTAAAATCTTGCATACAAATGTATTTTGCAACTTATTATTTATAATTCATCATGGTACACCATTCATACAAAAAATGTGTAGATGGTATATAATTCTACTATTTATAATTCTTTCATAATTAATAATATACTTTCTTTTGTATGAATGGTGTACTATAATGAATGATAAATAATGAGTTACAAAAAACATTTATAGATTTTACAGATCGCCTATATCATCACTGTGATTATTCCATCTAAAGTATTTGCTAAATCTAAGAATTCAAAGTTTAAAAGCATTGATTTTCTTTAAAACTAAGAGGACTATGTAACATATCCCCCCTTTTTCATTTTAAATTTGTTAAATTATCAATAAAAGTTTTTGTTATTTTTTCAGCAGTCTTTTGCTGGGACTTCGTGGGGTTCGGGCAGGGTTCTGCTTACTACCTGGGTTTGAACAGGATACTGCTGGGCTCATGGCCGCATGTCCCCCCAATCCCTCCTACTTTAGATGCTATTCAAATAAAGACACAATTATTTTTTTATTAGACAAAAAAGTTTCATTATATCACTTAAATATATGAAGTCTAAGTCTATTCAGATTTCCATTTAAACCTAAACATACAATATTACTGAAATTCTGGGAACTAGAACGAAGAAGAAGGTAAAATGTATGCGGTATAACTTTGTAACCTCGCAGCGTTTCTAGTATTGATATTACTGGTACAAGTAAGAGAAAAGCTAGTTTATCTGAGCTGAAAACTTTAGAATGAGATATCCTAATCACGATCGCTTAATCTTATTATATCTTAATCACTTTTAATTTTATTCTTATAATTCACTTTTTGGATATTTCTACTGTATATAGTATACGTTTGAAAACAATTGCAGATACAATGCTATATCGATTGGACTAATATCCGATTGAATTAAAGTCAGCTATTCAAAAGCCGGCTTTGATAGCATTTAAACAAACATAAATTTAATAAAGTTAATATAAAATTATTAAAAAACAGATTTTAGGGGTATTACTATTGTCATTTTGAACGTTAATAAAAAAAAACGTCTTAATAAAAATTAATCCAAAACTGACGTTCGTTCAATCGATGTTTAGTTCAATTTGATATGACGCCATCAACACCAGAAATCAAAACCTGTTTTTCAAAAATTAAAGAGTACATCTCAACATGACACGATGATTGGTTAAATTGTTAACTTTTTTCTTGGATATCGAATGAGTTTTAAAATAATCTTGGGTTTAGTAAAACCAGGAGTTTAAGCATTAATCTTGATATCCACCATTCTAAAGTTTTTAGCTCTGGTTAAATATTGGAAATTCAACACATTTAGTTCTTCTCAATAGTTCTTTAATAAAAGAATTTATGATAAAAAAACAGATAATCAATCTAACTTACAATTTACTTTATGATTGACGTGGACATATAGGGAAATAAATAAATATCTTTTTCTTTGTCAAAATAGTAATAGATCGGAATTAACACGATTTTGAGTAAAAAACTAAAAAAAAATTTGGGTATGAATGTTAAATTGTTAATTACTAAATGCATGTCTATAGGTTCTTACTGTCATCATACGGTAGGAAAATAGGTAATTGGCTAATTACCTTTACTCTTATATCTTGGAGAACAGAGAATAGATTTTCATCAAGAACACCCACGCGTTCTTCAATACTCTTTACATCCTCAAATATACTCTGTAAAAGGGAGTGTTCGCGTCACATCTAAATATATACTTTGCTTGTTTGCCTGTCTGTCCGTTTGTAATCAATGCACGCCAAAACTTTGTGTTGTTATACCTCACATGACCTCAGGGAAGGTTTATGGATGTTAAGAATTACAAAAAGCGGTCTGCAATCGTAAAATTATGAAAACCTACGAGAGCAAAATCGTAAATCCGCAAAAAAATATTTTTGTGTCATCGCAAAGAAAATGGTAAAATATTGAGAAGCAATAACAAGTTGAAATAGAAGATGGGCGGGAAGCCTTGTTTTCTATTAAGTGGAAATGTTTGAAATTGCTAAGAACGGAAAAGTTCAATAAAACTCACGGATTTCATAAAAATATGATCGATGAACGGTATTCTCGATCAGTTGCCTTCGAGGGAAGAGTCAAGTATTATGATATATTAACTACATTTGAATGACCTGAACAAATTTCGTAGTATAGGCAATAGTATATACTATATACAGTATTGTTTAAAGGATCAGTTATAAAGGAATTGAGTCTTTGCCACAAAGTCAAATTTTCAAATCCTAATATCTTTGCAACTAGATGGTTTAAGCCTTAAATATTTCAAAATTAGATTATTTGATCTACCAGAATTCATAGTTTGAAATATAAAAGGTCCACGACATTAGGTTGAAATATACAGGGTCTAGAAAATCGGAGTTTGTGGCAAAGACTCAACTCCTTTAATTGAATAATTTACGGTTTGAGTGGTAAAATGCAACTTCATATGGACTCCCAGCTTTTAACATTACGCTTTTTCACAATTTGCACCTTTTTGGAAGCTTAGTGAAAACGACATTTTTAACAAAATTTTGATTGTTAACAAGCTTTTTTAGAGTTACAAGTTTACGATTAGTCAAAGAAAAGCTTTTTAATTGATAGCTTCTCTAGACTTCTATGTCTCATTGTATTAATACTAGAAATTCAAGGCGCTTCGCGCCCTTCTTTCTAGCCTTAGAGGGCGCTTCGCGCCCATCTTCTAAATTAATTGTAAACATGTTCTCTTTGTGTACATCGTAAAACTAAACAAAAATAATTCGCGGATTTTTACAAAAAATTTCGCGGATTTTCAAAATTTTAAAAAATTTAATGACGATCGAATTTTGATAGAGACAAATATTTGAAATTTTGATGATTCATAAACCTTCCCTGGGCTCCCTAGATGTCCCACAAAAAATTTGGGCCCGATCGGTTCAGCCGTTTTGACGTTTATTGGATACAAACAAACAAACAGACAAACAAACAGACAGACAAACAAGCCAAATTTATATATAGATAATCTCCTACCCGTGTAGATAAAAGTAAAATCATTGGCAATTGAGTCCTAATTTAATACGGATTCAGCCTAATTTTCCCTTTAACCACAGTTAGCAAAAGGGACTTATGTACTCGGTTTGAAATATTAAATTATGTCCGCGTGTAAACATGATCATAATGTTAATTATTGAATAATATTCAACTGGATGCATGGCTGGATGCAGGGATGAGAAATGAAGAAATTACGCACCTTCTAAAGCATTGTGAATTAAAGGATCTACGAAAAATGGAGAGAAAATACTGAGATACCAAATAGTTAAATAAAATTACATTTAGTTAAAAGAACTTTGTTGCAACGATCGTTTTTGGATCGTTATTAGTTTTTTAGGAAATATAGGGTGCCCAGTGTGTAGCGGACCCAGCACATTTTATCGAATACTAATATGTTAATACTAGATACATGTTAATGTTGAAAAATACTAATATGTTAATACTAGATATATGTTAATGCATCGAATACTAATATGTTAATACTAGATACATGTTAATGTTGAAAAAAAAAACAAGCTTTTATTGATTCTTAATTATCCATTATCTTTACACGGGCTTATTAATTCATTAAGTCATTAATTGCATTTATTCATTACCAACACCCTCATTTCTGATAAAAGAACATAAATAAAAGTCATAGATTAATTACAATACAGATAGAACACTAGATGTCGTCTCTTCAGGATATAGGGTTTTTTCGTTCCCAATAACTCTGAGGCAGAAGCCCAAAGGAGTCACGCGCATGATCTGTCTTGTAATTCAACTCGGATTGCGCGTAACTCCTTTGGGAATCTGCCTCAGGGTTATTGTGAACGAATTAACCCCTAAATCTTGAAATACGAATTAAAGTGTTCTATCTGTATTGTTATTGATCTATGATATAAATAATAAAAAAGTCCTTACAAGAAGCACAAAAAATGGAGAGAAAATTCTTGAAATATTTATCTGATCAATTGTATTGAAGATATTGTCGTTTTTCTAGGATTAAAAGTTTTAATTCTTAAAGTATTTATGTTTCTGCAGTAGAAAACGCAATTCTAAATTTAGCAGAGAAGCAACAATTAAAAATTACCAGTTTTCAAAATTATAAATTTTGGCCTTTTAGTCCTCGATCTAATTTCAAAAACTTTTTTTTTCTTAACAAATATTCTTAATGACCAATGACATTATTATCTTTTTTATTATTATTGATTTATCTAATTGAGACTTGATAAGACAAAGCTTTTAAGGAAACTGTTGTAAATCGGGCACTGCCTTCTTTTCACTTGAAATTACGCTTTAGTTTCCTTTCATATTTATTTTTAAACAATCAGAAAGCCTTCACTTTCGAACCGTTTTCATCCATCGACTGTGTTTAATAGATAATCTATACATTTCTTGTTACAACGATATGTTTTTAAATGTTTGCTGGGTTTATTGGATTCTGAAGTTTTCTCTAAAATACTGCACTTTCAGCTCAAATTAGTTAACTAGCCGGTCACCCCCTTTAAATACCTGAATGAAGATGTGTGTGTACGCTATAAACTGTCTGATGATAGCTACTGCCCACTTCATCTAGAAAAAGGATATAAGAATATAAATAAGAATATAAGGTTGGATAGGTTCTAGAACTCTGCACAGTGATCCATAGGTTCTAGAACTCTGCACAGTGATCCAAAGGTTCTAGAACTCTGCACAGTGATACAAAGGTTCAAGAACTCTGCACAGTGATCCAAAGGTTCAAGAACTCTGCACAGTGATCCAAAGGTTCTAGAACTCTGCACAGTGATACAAAGGTTCAAGAACTCTGCACATTAATCCAAAGGTTCAAGAACTCTGCACCGTGATCCAAAGGTTGTAAGATCTCACTCAAAATTGATGAGAACTTTTCCAATCAATTTTAAAACAGGAAAACCAAAAGCAAGTGTTGTATAGTTTTTAAAAGGACATGTCAAGGGTTACAAAAATGTATTGGTGAGTTAGTAAGGTAATATTAAAGGCCAAGGGGTTCAAAGTTGACCTAATGTTGAAACTTATGCAACTATTCATGCAGACAGTTAAACCCTAAATATGCCATACATCGAAATAATTTATCAAATGTCGTCTTGACAATTTTTCAATGGGTGTTATACTACGAAACTGGTATGTTTGATCAAGAACGAAACTGGTCTGTTTGATCAAGAACGAAATTGGTCTGTTTGATCAAGAACGAAATTGGTCTGTTTGATCAAGAACGACGAAACTGGTCTGTTTGATCAAGAACGGAACTTGTCTGTTTGATCAAGAACGAAATTGGTCTGTTTGATCAAGAACGAAACTGGTCTGATTGATAGCGTTTAAGAAAATCGAACAATGGTTTTCTAAACGATCGTTGTCAAAAATGTAGAAACAAAATTTTTGGAATGAAAACGATCGTTTTGGAATAAAAACGACATATATATAATATTTGAATGAAAAATAAAAACCTCTCTTCGAACTACAAAATTTGTTTAATAAAATTTAATCTAAAACGATCGTTTGTTTTTGCTTCAGAGCTATAATTTTGTCCTGACGTTTTTTGTCAACAACAATTCGTTTTTTCAATAAATGACTGTTAGTTAGTTTTGAAAAATCAAAAACGAAACTAAGAATGATCGTTTTTCCGATAGTTTTTGAAAGCGATGCCAAATTCCCTTTATTTTCTTTTTTGACCTTGTTCTATTCAGTATTTAAGATAATCAGGACAATACTATATGAACAAAATACAAAACATGACAATAGGTTCTTGATTTGATCGTTCTGATTGAATACCATTGTTGGAAAATAAGTTTTCAAACCTAAAGGAACTGTAGACGTAGTCCCATGTGACTCTTCATGAGTTATATGTGAATGTTTACCAGGTGAAAGTCCTTCTATCACCTGGTAAAAGTCCTTCTTTTACCTGGTAAACATCCTTATTTTATCTCGTAAACGCCCTACTTTCACCTGGTAAACGTCCTTCTTTCACCCGGTAAACGCCCTAATTTCACCTTGCAAAAGTCCATATTTCCCCTGGTAAACATCCATATTTTATCTTGTTAACGTCCTACTTTCACCTGGTAAAAGTCCTTCTATCACCCGGTAAACGCCCTAATTTCACCTGGTAAAAGTCCATCTTTCACCTGGTAAACGCCCTTCTTTCACTTGGTAAAACTCCATCTTTCACCTAGTAAACATCTTTATTTTACCTCGTAAACGCCCTACTTTACCCTGGTGTACGTCCTTCGTTCACCCGGTAAACGCCTTACTCTCACCTGGTAAAAGTCCATCTTCACCTGGCTATAAACATCCTCCTTTCACCTAGTTAACATCCTTCTTTCCCCTGGTAAACGTCCATCTTTCACAAAGTAAAAGTATTTCTTTCATCTGGTAAAAGTTCTTCTTTCACCTGGTAAACGTCCTTATTTTACCAGGTGAAAGTCCTTTTTACCCTGGTAAACATCCATCTTTCATCTGGTAAACGTCCTGTTTTTACCGGGTAAGCGCCCTTCTATTACCTGATGAATGTCCTTCTTTGATGCAAATTCTTCAGCTGTAGTGTACAGTAATGCTTCAGTGATTCCTGTTATTGTACTGCATTTATCCTTCGCTTGATCCAGCAAATTCATAAGGTATCTGCAAAATAAATATGTGAGTAATAAGCATAGTACTTTGGCTGATTTTTCTGTGTTTATTGGCAAGAGTTAAAAGTCCACATGTTTTCTAGCTAAATGTTATCAAAACTTTTAAACAGATTTACCCAATAAAGATGAGACATCGGAATGTATATGATCTTTTTCTTACTTTACGTAACTCCCTCTGTAGGTAGATTTTATATATTTTATTTCAGGGCCATGAAAGTTTCATTGTGTGACAAACCCTAAACTTGAACGTTGCAGGTTTCAATTTTTAGCATTTAATCCATTTTTCAACTTTTTCAATTTATTTAATGCTTAAGCAGACAAAACTTTGACAAAGTTAGAATTCAGTTATATTTTACCTGTTGGTGGTTTCTGTTGAATCGGATAATATCGCAGGTAACGGTTTTATTCCAGCCCCTCCTCTTCCCATATCCCACTCAAACAAAATAAATCAGAGGAATACAAAATGTACATTCTCTCAAGCACATTTTTTCAGCATTTTCTCTTTTACTTTTACAAGCTGATTATAGTTGTAAAATGTACATGGCATAGGAATACTAAAATGTAAAAGAAAGTTAGGGATTAACCCAAAGACCAGGGTATTGCGAAATCGATCCAGATCCCAGTCTTGAAAGTTGATGCACAATTGTATCGTTGCCTGTGTAAACATACATAACAGTTTCGTTTGCCATAGTCAAACTTTCTATAATTACACATGCCATAAATTGCATTTGCTTCAACTTACACCTGGCATGATTGTTATTACATTTTACAGTCTATACATATATAGAATTCATTTTTTTTCAATGACCCCCTGGTTTATCCTGGCCTAGCTGAAGCGCTAGACACCCTAGTCTATTGTGAAAAATGTAATTTAGAATAATAATGGAAAAATAATTGATTCTACTTTGATGATTTCTCCAAATTTTCGATTATTGAAAATTAATAAGAAAAAATACTAATATCAGACAATCCTAAATTATTCTTGTAAATTAGATAAATCATTATTCAGATAGGTCACGACAGGTCAGGACTGACCACGTGTTTTTATAAATAAATCATATATCGAAAATTCTTTCAAAAAGTTCACATAAGGTTTGTTCCAAATTAATTCAATCAAATTGGCTATAGCCGTTATTTGAAGTAACTCATATCACAGTTATGATCACAGATATAACCCAATCTATCCAAAATCAAAATCTGACCAAATTCTTAAGTAGATGTACTTTCAGATAGCTCTATACATTCATTAAGTGACATGTCACAATGAGACACTTTAAACCTTTAGACTGTTGAAAATTAATCCGAAATCTATGATTTTTATTGTAATTGTAAGAAAGAGATTACGGATTTCTTGCCAAGGAAACAACTAAGGAATTTTTGAGAATTTAACACTTTTGGAACTAAACAAACAATGATATCTTCCACATTATGAATGCGAGAAAGACTTTAAAAGTCCTGTTGTAAATCTGTTTTAAACAGTGTGTCACTCGAAATTACAACGCTAGTCCCGTCGAACAAAAGTTGATTTTAAAACTTTTATAAATTTCCTACAATATCATTGTTGACAATAAATAATCAATAATTAATCAAAACAACTATTTTTCTTTTTCAATAAATGGGGCCATAACGCAGATATTTTGTGAATCTTGGGATCAAGCATTAAGTTTCATCATATGAGATCTATAGATTAATTAAATTCCTCCTCGATATCCCGTCTGCTATTGAGGGATCAAATTTAAAAGTGCTCACACTGGATATCGAGACTAACAACCTCATATCATTGTACAATACACATATTTAATTATTAGTAAATAATCAGGAGCTAGGGAAATAGAGGTCTGGCAAATCTTATTTTTATATATTATTATTTCATTATTCGTTATCTTCGATCATGCTTCTCCTTTTTTAAAGAAATTTCCATGATGTTTATATCTTTGAGACAGTGTTCGCTAAAACAAATCAATTCTGCCGCGCATTAAATTATATAAAGTTCAAGGTTTAAATTTTGATTAAAGAAAACGGGTTTACGTCATTTATGTTTCTTTAATCTTTACAGATATAATTGTTCCAATCTGTTGCAACTTTGTGCAACTTATATCTTTCTAATTTTTCGTTAACTTTCCCTTTAAATAAACGATTCTATTCTGCCTAAACTAATCTAGGTATTAGATGCACTTCCCTTGGATGGTTTGTGGAATTCTCCATTACTAATTAGTAATTATTGAGTTCTCATTTGTGAACTAATTATTTGAAAACAATTATCTTCTACATTGAATCTGATGACAGGACAGGGAAGGTGGAGTAGACATTTTAAAATAACCTTTATGAAGTAACCCCTTCCAACAACACTAATGTCGATAAATTCATATAGCAGACGAAAGAATGAGGTCATAAAAAGGTCCATTTAGTGTATAGCGCCGAACTAGGAATTTATCTCTAATTGGATAATGAGATAGATAAAAAGATAGATGTTACCGCTATGCAATTTCTATTGGTTCAGAATAGACACCTAACAGATGACTGAACCCTGATTGGATCAGGCACTAATGGACTCGTCATACAGGAGTGACGTAAACATTATACAGATCGGGATGGCCATCGATTTTGCAAACTTATTTATTAAAGACAGTTTTTCGTTATTTAAATCGTTTTGGTTTTGTTTGGACAAAGAAAAACCATGGCTTTGTGTACAGAAATCGTTTAAGAATGATTTTTAAATGTTTTGAAATTTTCAAAAAAAAATTTTAGGTTTGATAATTTCTTCTTCATGATCGAAATGTTCAAACCGAATTCTGAAAAAGTTGCCTCTACTGATACTTTACATTTTGCATATTTATATGCATACGGTTACCTGATAAATTCTAAATCCTTTCATTAGATTGGACAACTGACGAATCCTAGTTCGTTTATCAATTCTAAATATATTTCAGGTTAAGTTGTGTCTTTCTTTAAAGGGACTGTATACGCAATTTTAAGAGACTTTCCTCTCTCATAGAGTGGCATATTAAATTACATGTGCTACCCTTAATTTATTCAAAGATGAATGAGCAATCTACGTTGATCTTTTTGAAAATTAATTGTTAGCAATTTCGACTTTTCTATGAATATTACAGAAACAATAGAGAGTTTGTTGTCAGAAATAATATATTTTTCAACAAGTAAAACACCTATTTTGTCATCATTATTGATAAGATAAGGGGTGAATTGTGAAGAGGCATTACTCTCTTTTAAAAAATGGACTCTCGAAATTATAACGTCAGTTTCATTAGATCTCAACCCAATTTAGATGAACCTTAACCGAATTATACATTTCAGGGGGTGGTCTTAGTCCTGATATACCCCCTCTGAGGGAATTTAATTATTTATATTGTAATTTTTTAATTTATCTGCATCGTTTAAAAAAGGAATTGAGTCTTCGCCACAAACTGAAACTTTCTAATCCCTGTATCTTTGCAACCTGATGGCATAAACCTTTGACATTTCAAACTTGGATTATTTTATCTAGAATTCATAGTTTGAAATATCTATGAAGTTTGGATATGAAGATATAGGGATTAGAAAATCATTTATGGCAAAGACTCAATTCCTTTACCTTGCGAGGAGTTGAAAGTTGGGCAACTGGGTTTCTGGGAAAAGCGTCTGCAGACATCGATACGATTCCGTAAACACTGATCTGTAAGCATATGTTTATTTATATACTAGAAATCCTCGTGAGACATGAAACATTCTTTTTTAGTATAATTCATTGTGTAAGAAAATGTGAGGCGTAAAAACTAAAATAGATATATAATATAAATAAAGGAATATAATATAATATTGATATAGTTTTCTAGTCTGTTTGTTTGTATCCAATAAACGGAAAACCGATTTTACCCACATTTTCTGTCACATGATACCATGTATGTAAAAGGCCCATCGAATTGTTATCAAATATTCTGGAAAGGAATTCAGTCTTTACAACAAACTCTGATTTTCAATACCTTCTTCTTTGCTATCCAATGTCGTAGATATTTCAAACTAAGTATTTGAAATATAGAAAGTTTACACCATCAGGTGGCTAAGATAAAGTGATAACAAAATTTAGGTTTGTGGCGAAGGTAATAAAAAATGCACAGAAAAAGTGCAAAAAAGTAAATAATTATTTTGAGAAAAAGGAGAAAAAGCCTGTAACGATGTATTGCTATTATTTTTACTTTTTTGCAGACTTAATAAGGTGGTGGTGGTTCTGCTTCATTTTCGCATTTGGACTTACTAAAGGCATTTGGCAGAATCATATTTAAACTTTGAATGGTCTAAACTTTAGTGGTTTCTTTAAAGGGACTGTTAAGGTAAACTGCAAGGTCTAAAAATTCTAGGCGTTGATCGTGACCAATAATATTTCTATCTGATGTCTCTGTCTCGAGAAATTAAATAAAACCATGTCCCAACAATACAAAAACACATTACATATATCAGTAATCTGGTAGATGGTCTAGTGGAAATTCTGTCGGACTTCAAAAGATACGGTTAAGTCCTTTCTTAAAATACACTTAATCAACATTCTTCACAAGAGAGGTGATAGTATTTTATAGTTCAGTAATAATAATCAATATATTATTTATCCAAGAATTCGTATCTCTCACCCACAAATTCAAAATGCAGTAATTATTTCTGAAGTTGCATAAAACTATAAAATGGAATATGATTAGTCTAACACAAAAAAATATGAAGATTTCAAGCTATATTTCTTTGCATTGAATTTGAGTCTAATTGCGTTGAAGCTTTCAAAACTTTATTTATATGCGATGCAAGGGGCATGGCCTTGTGACAATTAAAAGTCGGGTCGGTATCAGAAGGTGATTCATGATGCATATCATTGGTATTAAGGGATTTGCAATTACGGTGGGGGGAGGGGGGAGGGGATTGGTCCAAAATTTAGAATGCGCCATAAAAATAAACACGCAGCAATTTCAAAATTGACATTTTTGAATTGGTTTGAAGTTAAAATTGAAAAGTATATTTTAACAACTTGTTGAAATTACGTCTAGTCGATCACGTTGAAAACAACTCACGTTTTATGTTTAAGTATCACGACTCAATAATTCTTTTGAAAATTCTGATCTATTGATTTCGTTGAAATTGTTGCTTTTCAAATTATGTGAAGATAAATAACATTCTTGGAATATTTTACAGATATTTTCAGCTAGAATATAATAAACAACATAACCTGTCTGTTGGGTTTCCTAGACCAGTTCTTAGAATAATAAGATTCACCATCTCACTAAAATATATTCTTAATTTTAATAATTTATTTTATTTAAATTTTACAATATTTTTAAATATTTATATGATATCAGATGGAAATATTTTGAGATTTCTATATTTCTTGTACTAAAATATATTCTTAATTTTAATAATTTATTTTATTTAAATTTTACAATATTTTTAAATATTCATATGATATCAGATGGAAATATTTTTAGATTTCTTTATTTCTTGTTCTTTATTTTTTTCTTGTTGGTCCATCCTTCAATCATACTTCAGCTAATTTTGAAAATAAAAAGAAAACATTTTGTTGGATGTCCTTGTAGTTCAAGTGTTCAAAGTTTATATTAATTTTATTGATGAGTGTTCAAAGTTCATATTAATTTTATTAATGAGTGTTCAAAGTTTATATTAATTTTATTGATGAGTGTTCAAAGTTTATATTACTTTTATGACATACCCCTCCATCAATTAAGAGTGACTTGAAATAACGTTTACAGTCCCTTTAAATAATTTATTCTCGTGATAATAAAACATCTGGCAGAGCCATCATATTTAATAAAACCAAATTGTAGATCATCACATTTTAAAATCATATCTTTGCAATCTGCTAATTAAAACCTTTAATATTTCTCAAACTTGGATTATTTGAACTAGCAGAATTTATAATTTAAAATATATCAGGTTCTTGACACTGGATTGCAAAAATATAGGGATTAGACAATTAGAGTTTGTTGCAAAGACTCAAATCCTTTTAAAAACCATTGGCACATGGCCCTGCCTCATGTTAAATTGCAATTCATCAGTCGTCAAATTAAGCCCAAGACAAAAATTAAGTTAAGAAAAAATATTAAAGGCAACTGATTACTCATCTCAAAGCCAAGTTACAATATTAAAAAAAAATGTTTTGCATTTTTTAACTTTATATATATTTATTGTTTGATAGTCATGATGTATATTTTAAATATAAACACATTAAGTGTGCACATGAAGAACAAACTTAATGGATTTACACTAAGTAAAGTAAACATGTTTCTAATGAATATGCATTTGTTTTATATCTATAATATTTAGTTATTTCAAGGTTTTGCTATTTGACTCAAGGTTAACATAATTTACAGAATGTATAAACCTTGGCACAATTTTCAAACGAATAATTATGCATTTTATAAATTTATGTAAATTGTAACTGTACTATACAAGCTTGTACATATCCGATCATTTGCTCCCATGGTTAGGGTGTGCACAAATATTTCACTTTGAATCCTCTTAATCTCGTTCTTATAGATCCCTTTAATATTCTCTCTCTAGATATTTCTCGGAGTATATATGTATGGGATTTATCAGCTTCATAGTTTATTTGTTAAATTCATCTGTATATAGGGTTATTCTTGTTTTAATCAGTTCCTTTGGGTATTCGGAAAGACCCCAATTCAGCGAGGAAAAGTATACTGGTCCTCTGTCCATCCAGGATGGTCCTGAGCATGTCTAGCTCCTTCAATGCTCCTGATGGACCAATATGTGGTAAGACAGCCAGAGTAAGGAAAAGGTCCATATCGTTATAATCTCTAATCCTCAAGAGCAGCAATTGTTCTCGTCTAGTCCTTAGATATTTCAAATAAATTATCCTTTAAAGGTTCTGTAAGGCCGTCATCAAGCTGCTCCTGTTCAGGATCCATCGGAGCAGCTTCCTAGCCTCAGACATCGCATTCAACTGCTCTGGTTCAGGATCTCTGAACTCAAATATCTTGTTTGGATACTCCAGGTCAGGACGTATCTGAGCAGCTTCCTAGCCTCCCAACATCTCATTCAGCTGCTCTGGTTCAGGATCTCTAAACTAAAATTCTTTGATCAGCAGTTCCTGAGTAGGATCTCTCTGAGAAGCTGCCACAAACTCAAATAGATCCTCTAGTTCTATATCTGGGCGAGGAGTCCTGGGATTTGCTGATCCAGTAGAGGATATATCATCCTTCAACCAAGGCAGCAATAGCTTGCAGTTGATCCACAAAAGCTTCTATATCTTCTGATTCATTGGCTGCTTCTAGATTTATCCGCGCATGCTCATGAAGTTAAGGGACTCTCTAGGGTTGGAGAACAAAATGGAGGAGTTCTGGAGAATCTCTCAGGAGTTCTTCCAACTTTAAATCTGAGTCTGTGGCTTCTACAACTGGTTTGTGAAGAACTGTCTGTAAAGAGCAGCTTCTCCCAGGTATGAAGCCAGATCCCTTTATCTGTAAACCTCCTGGTTTCTCAGTCATGTCTGGAGGATGATAGATCGCATCCTAATAGATCCCTATGATCTCTTCTTCACCTGGGGTCATTGGTCTATTCTGGTATTCTAGCTGCTCTGGATCACAAACAAGATCAGGTCCTTGCATATAATCCTCTGGAGAGTATAGAGCAGCCTCTGATGCGCCGCGCTGGCTGGATAATCTAGTTCTCCTCTGTACAAATACTCTAGCTGTTATATATCTCCAGTGTCTCTGTTCAAAGAGACAGCTGATAAATATATCCTGCTCTGTGGTTTGACTGGCTGGTCTGTAGTCCTATATACCCTAGCAGCTCTATATCTCCAGTGCCTCTTTCTACAGAACCAGCTCGAGAATATAGAGCTTCATCTGATACATCTTGGTCCGTAGTTGGACTAGCTGGTACGGTTACAATCGGAGCAGTACCAGAAACCAGTGGAGACAAATCTCTTGGTGATGCTGATGAATCTATTGGTTCACACTCAAGTATAATGATGGGGAAGGAGGCTGGTGTCCTCTTAAGCATGATAAAGATACATCAGTCCAATAGCTGTCCAAACGTGCAGGTCCCCAGGCCTTATTTGAATAAAGGGAGCTAGCTCTAACGTATATCCTGCATAAGATTCCCGGGTACACTGCCTCTATTTTCCAGGTTCTCTACTCTGCTATGATTCAGAGAAAGGGATGATGGGTTTTAGTATCAGTAATCATACTCCAAATATTACACTGTTCGTCCTATCTGTACAAATTCGACCTTGCTGTGCGTCCTACATATCCGAATATTCTGTGCGTCCTACCTGTACATATCCGATCTTACAGTGCGTCCTACCTGTACATATCTAATCTTGTTGTACACTGTACATATCTGATCTAGTTGTTGCGTCCTTACTGTACCTGTACATATCTGATCTTGTTGTTGCGTCCTTACTGTACCTTTACATATCTGATCTAGTTGTTGCGTTCTAACTGTACCTGTACATATCTGATCTAGTTGTTGCGTCCTTACTGTACCTGTACATATCTGATCTAGTTGTTGCGTCCTTACTGTACCTGTACATATCTGATCTTGTTGTGCGTCCTACCTGTACCTGTACATATCTGATCTTGTTGTTGCGTCCTGCCTGTACCTGTACATATCTGATCTTGTTGTTGCGTCCTGCCTGTACCTGTACATATCTGATCTTGTTGTGCGTCCTACCCCTGTGTTCTCTACAACTCTTCTGCAAAAGAGGGAGGGAAAGGGATTTTATCTTTATTCATGATTTTAAAGAATTTCCTGGAAAAATATCTAAGAAGTTTAGAATAGAAAACTAAGTTAATAAAAACATATTTCTTCCTTGAAAATGTACACTTAATGGTATCGATATTTCATTTAAGAGAAATGTTTAAGAATAGATACAGATGTATCACTGGAAACACGAGAAAAATGAATGTTATTTGATTAACCCCTCAACCTCACAAAAAAACGGTGAGAGGAGGGGTGGAAATCTTAGGACTTTTCTTAAAAACCCGGAAACTCGGACCAACAGTCTTTTGAGTTTAAAGACTAAGAGGCCAAAAAAAATCTGCAAAGGTATATTAAGTCTTCGCCACAATCTCTGATTTTCGAATCCCTATATCTTTGGAACATAATGTAGTAGACGTTAGATATTACAAACTATGAATTTTGTTGAATCAAATAATGTAATTTTTATATATTAAAGGTTTACGCCATCATGTTGCAAAGATATAGGAGTCTGGATTTTTCCAAACAAATGTCAACACTCAACTTAGGGTTTTTATACCAAACTGAGAACAAGTCCATGGTTCTACCGATTTTCCTAGTAAAACTTTTTAAAAAACCAATCGGTCTAGGGTGTCATGAGTTATGATCGGACATACAAACAGCCTAATAAACATATGAACAGAGATTAATACTTTTTATAGATTATACCTTGTTAACCCTGCCAATCTTTTTTCCACTTTACGATGATGATTAATTATTTCCTAAAAATTTAAAATAATCAATGATCTATATGTTTTATAATTTTAAAATTATGAAACTAATTCAGTTATAGTCAGATATATTAATCGTGCCATGTTACACCATTTAATGTATTGTCAATTTTTCAAATCTTTATAAGTAAAACTTTATATTAAAAAATAGAACTGCATTATGCAACAATCTCTGACTTTCTAATCCCTTTATTTTTGCAGACCTTTGACATTTCAAACCATGTATTCTGCTAGATCAACGTGTTAAGGATTAACATCACCAGAGGCCGAGGTTTTGCGGCTTAATTATGGTTGGTTTCACTTAAAATTGTATCAAATGTTTCAAAATTTAAGCCGGCGCTCAATTTAAACCGGGTTTTGGCGGATTTAAGCCGCGACTTCAATTCTTTAAATTCGGCCTCAGGTTGCAAAGATATAGGAACAAGACAGTTTGATGTTGTGGCAAAAACTAAGTTCCATTCTTTAGAAAACAATAATACCATGATTTGAATACAATTCATTTAAACTTTACCTGTTTATCTTCCTTGTAGGACGACATGAAAAATGCCTAAACATTAACGAAATAAAATTAGTACATGACAATACTTCGCGCCCCTTATTTCCATCAACAATTTTAGCTTTTCATTAGTCATTCTCAGATTTTTATGTTTATTTTGGCGCAATTTCAAAACAAGAAATGTTGACATGTAGACTACTTGTTATGCTAACAATTTTAGATTTATAGCTGTTGCTGTTCAAGACGCCATGTGTTCCTTCTTTCACAACAGATTTTTCTGTTTAAACTAAACAATTCAACTTAGACTATAGAATTTTCTTGGAGTCATGCGAGGTACCACAAACAAACAAATAAACAGACAGACAAACCAACTGTATTTATAGATGTGAGTCTCTTTGAAATAAGAGCTTATTAATGTACTTCTGTTCCCTTCTATACTATATATATTGGTTCTCTAAAAACAATTGAAGGACAGAACAAAAACTTTTGTTATGCCATTTTAGAAATTGTAAAAACAAAAAATATCTACTTGATTAAAGTTTTTAATATGTTGTAACTATTTCGAAATAATAAAATTATAAAACAATTAAATGCATGTTATACTTTGTGTATCATAGAAAAAATGATTTTTTTGTAGAAAAAATCAGCAGCGTTGAGTTTACTCTGTGCACTGCGCCCAGGCCGCGTCTTAGAGGAATTCAAGCGGGTTCCGATATATTTAAACAAAAGATTTTTATACTCGATAAACAGTCAGAGGTTTCAAGGGTACCGTTGTTAATCGGGTATGGGGGTCACTAAGTTAAAATTACGTTTACAGAAAAGAGAAGAATTCCAATGTTTTCTGGTTTTCATTGAAATTATGAAATGTTAAAGTTTGTGTTTCATAGTATTAAAAACCTGCATTTTGACAGCTTGAAAATAGGGTTTCTTGTCCCGCAGTATTTTATCAACACAACTTCCAATCTGAAATGTCAAAGTTTTTGTAACTTCTGTAACATCATTCATTATTCATTTGTCAAATAGGATTGTAGACATTCAAGAATTCAGAAAAATTTATTTTAAAAAAGAAAAAATCTTTAAGATATTTTATTTCATTTGAATTTTTTAAATCCTTCACTTCTTTTAAAGATTTAAAGGCATTGATTTACAAATTTCTAATTTTCCGATCCCTCTATCTTTGCAACCCATTGATGTCGAAGCACTTCCATATTTTAAACTATGAATTCTGTTGGATCAAATTATCTTAATTTTAAAATATCAAAGGTGTGCACCATCGAGTTAAGAAGATATATTTGAATCTTTGGAAAAGACTCAATTCTTTTGAGTTGTGGGCTGTAGTGTAGGGATAATTTGAATACTTTTATAGGGAAAACACATTGAAACACAGTCAATTTTTAGCTAGTAAAACAAGGATGTTTCTTTCATCCTTGAGGATTAAGTGTGGAGAATCGCATGATAAATGAATATAAATGGAAAAAGGTCACTTGAAATTATGCCTATAGTCCCTTTAAGACTTTAAAGTTTTTGTATTTACCAAATGTTTGATATCTTGTCTATCTAAGGGTTGATCAATTGTAAACCCAGTTTCAGGGTGCTGAAAAACTGCTTTAAGAACACTAGCTCCCAAACATGCATCAACCTAAGATTTGTCATTCTTTACTGCAGTCGGTGTCGTTTATATCAATCCAATGGAGACGAATTTTCATTCCAATTTTGATTTCGACCAAGCTTTCAAACAGCATGGAGACACATAAACATAGAAACAAAGTGAAATTGTCAATGAACAGCAATTCTCTCTTTGTTTACTTTGTAATTTTAAAAAGTTTGTTAGAAATCAAAAATTAAATTAAAAAGTCGTCTTAATTGTATTGATATAAACGCCAACGACTGTAAATTAAAAGTTTTCTTAACTACATCGTTTAGTACACGATAATCTCATCAGGAGGAGATGATTTATTTAGTGTACCGTCCCATTTTGCCGACTGTAGACTGTCTGCATACTGCATGTTTCGCAATTTAATTTATTCAGCGTGTTGATATAAACGCCAACGACTGGAAATAACAAAGTTTTCTTAACTACATCGTTTAGCACACAATAATTTCACCAATGATGATTAATTTGGTGTACCGCCCCATTTTGCCGTCTGTAGTCTGTACAACTTGCTGGGCCCATGGGCTGTCTAAAGGTATGTGCGATATTTCAAATGAACCATTTGTTTTAGCTTAAAGGGACTGTAACTGAAATTTAAAGGAACCCTCTGTGAAAAGAATTACAACAGTACCTGGCCTTAAACCCCTAATCTGATTTAAAAAAAAATATAAGGAATGATTATGTAATATTCTGACTTGAAACCAAAAATGAAAACAAATAATTTAGATAAACAAAAACATGGATATATCTGATTCATACCTTATCAGAAAAAGAAATTAAGGATACCGTTGAAATTCATGCAAAGCCATCGTTGCATGGTGGGTCACTTAACCCTTTTCCTGCTGGGGGGGGGGGTATTCTTCCGATGTATTCGTTATTAAGGGTTTCACTGTATGTAAATCGTGTTTCGCAAATTTTTTTTTTAACAATTGTACATTTAAAAAAAAAAGTCAATTTTTTCCCGGCAAAATGTTATCTTTGACACTCCAAAAACTTTTCCTGTCACTACTGTGATATTATGAGTTGCCACAAAACATTAAGTTGGAAATAAAAAGATAGATAGCAAACAAAATTTCAATATTAAAACCAGGTCTTCCACGGAAAAATTTTCATGTGATATCCTTCTAAAAACCATGTTTATATTTACCTTTACACCTCGTCTACCCGTCTCCTCAATAATTTCCCGAACAAGGGAAAGTGTTATCTCCATCTTTGAAATTAATCCTTAAGTTAAAAAATATCAGGAAATATGAAGGTTTTTTTACATCTATATAATAAAGCTATTCGCTCAAATTATATATATATGTGAGCTATAGCTGGACAAACATCTGAACCAAATTGGCTGGATTTTTTTTGGGGGGGGAGGGGACCCTCGGGTACCCCAGCGGTAACAAAGGAAAAAAATTGACTCTTATTCAAAATTCGATTGTTTTCTTCTTCAAAATTCCCATAGTTTTTCAAAATTCAATTTTTTTTCTTCAAAATAAATTTTTTTTTTGTGAAATGTGTTTCTTAAATTTCACGGGCAACGCCGGGCACTTCAGCTAGTATTAACCATTAAACATTTTTCTGAGTATAAAAGAGGAAAAGGTTATTAAAATGCGCCGACACTCTACAAATTATAGATTTAGTGATCACTGAACTGCTCCCTCCATTCTTTTAGCTTTGCATGTGTAAAAATTCTTCATAACGTTTGTTAATCGTTGACAATAATTGATCGTTAACTATTTGTGATCGTAATAGAATTGCTTATATCTATCTATATCATAAAGCTCTTCGCTCACATACAGGGTGTCCCACGAAACATGACAGTTGGTGAATAGTTTAAGATTTCTTCTTCCATAATTTGATAAGTTGTTTGATACTTAAGAGACTAATAACATTTTCATATGACAGTTATATTATAGTAAAATTGATTTCACAGTAAAATATTTGAGTCAAAAAGTCTTTAATATCTAATACAGTATGTGGAAGAAGACATTCAAAATTTTTCAGCTACTGCAATGTTACATGAGACACCCTGTATATATATTTGGACCAAACGGCTGGACCGAATGGGCTGACATTTTTTTTCTTCATAATTCGATTTTTTTTAATTCCACGGGAAACGCCGGGCATTTCAGCGAGTCTTCTACATAATAAAGCTCTTAGCTTATGTGTATTTATTTTTATACATATTTATATGTTAGCTATTGCTGGTCAAACGGCTGGACCGAATCGGCAGACCTTTTTTTGAGGGAACCCATGGGTGACCAGGAAGTAACGTAGGCTTAAGAAATTGCAATTTTTTATCACCAAATATTTTTTTTATTGGTTGAAAACGGATTTTTTCTAAAAGTTCGATTTTTAAAAATTCCTCGGGCAACGTCGGGCACTTTAGTTAGTATTATATAAAGTTGATTGTTAAAGAACGATTTATTGGATAAATTCAGGATTTTTTTGAAAAAAATTAGCACATATAAAAATCTTTTGTTAATTATGGATTGTTCCAGCTTCTTCTATCTTCGCTCATTATTGTGATTGTTAATGGAAATTATGTTTGTTAATGAAAAAAATAATTCCTTTTAACGACGCTTAGCCCTTGTTATTCGCATTAATTTTGCAAACACAATATTATAATATCACTTTTTATGTTTGTATACGTTGTACATTTCAAATATAAAATATCTTTAATTACAAAAAGGACTTTCAAAGATGATTAATCTGGTTTAGATTATATTTGAATTTCAAATATTAGATTGGGTAACATCCATTTACAATAAAAACAATTGAATTAGATCACAAAAAAAATCTGGAGGGAAAATTCATGTAAACGTTTAAACGAAATGAAGCCCTTCATGGAAAAAAAACTTTGAATTCTAATGATTTTGGATTTTTTTTTGGTTTTCTAATTTCACCGACTTTTTTCTCAAATACCTTTTTTCCCCTTGACTGTATATTAGGTTTATTCTTTTAGTTGAACCTTGTCCAGGATACTGAATCCAACTGTAGAATCACGAAACTAAAATTTTATTGAAAATATTTACAGGTTCCCCCCTCCCAAACTGTCATATACATTTTCCCTTGTTTTTCTTAGGTTAATTTTATCCCCTTCTCCCCACCCCCTCCCTACTCTCCTAGTTCTACCAGAAACTATTCCTTATTCAGAAGAAAAGAAAAAAAACTTATTTAAATTAAATTTAAATTAATAATAAAGATAAATGTAAAAAGTGTAAAGTATAATTATAATACATGGTTCTTAAACTTATAGTTGAAAAGGAATTAAGTCTTTGCCACAAACTTCTGATTTGCTAATCCAGATTGCAGAGATATAGGGATTTGAACATTCAAGTTTGTGGCAAAGACTCTGTGATAATAATAATAAATTGCAATACAGATTTAACTAGAAATGCGGGAAATTGTTTGTTTAAAATGCTTAAAAATAAAATATTCTTTTCCTTATATTTTAAAAAATTAATGTGAAAACTTAGATTAAATAGAAAGATAATTTTTGTTCATTAGTGATTATTTTGTAAGTTATGAAACTGAGTTTTGTTTTGAATTGTAGATTTTATATAATTTGAGTGTACCAAAAAACAGGAAAGTAAACTTAGTCTCGGAAAAATTAAAATGATTCCAAATTCAAGATATGTTTGAAAAAGGAAAACCTAGCATTGTCTTGAAAACGGTCAACGGTTTTAAAATAAAAAAAAATCCTTTTAATTTATAATAACTGCATCATTTTGTTGAGTATTGTGGTAGTGTGTGTAAAACCAGTTATCAAGTGATCAAGCTGAAGTATACAGAATACTTTTACTCGGCCTATGCTTGAAGTAACTCTATTCTTATTTTCTAATCTCCAGGGTTAACTTTAATATATAGAGATTAACAATACTAACACACAAAATTGTGTAAACTTTTAAAAATTTCAAAGTTAATAATTTAATGTACAAATTTAAAGTTTAATATAATTAACAAAGGTCTATAAAATCAGAGGCCGGGTTTACAGATTTTGAGCCGCGACTCAAATATGAGACGCGCTTAAAACATAGTTGGTTCCACTTGAAATTGTATTAAGAGTTTCGAGATTTGAGCCGGCACTTAATTGGAACCGGTTTTTGGCCTCAGGTTTAACGCGACGCGGTTTAAATTCTTTAAATTCGGCCTCAGGTTTAAAAGATGTCAGATGAAGAGTTATATTTCTAGCAACCAATAATTGCTGAACTGACCCTTTAGAGTTAGTTTTCTGATTTGTAAGAGAATCTGCTGCTGGGATAATGATCTGAAGGCTCGTAAGCCGTGAGATATTCTTCAGATATTTCTCATCAATCTGTATCCTGTTACAACCTGTATGTATAGTTAGAGATAGGACTAGGTTCAGCCAACATGATTGTCTTCATCCTTATTGTAGGTAAACAATTAAATTTATAGGAAACAATGTTTTAATTTGAAACTTTAAACTGAAGGAGATATCCTTTTGTTTCTATCTGAAAATTGATGAAGTTCAAATGCGGTTTCTAGTAATTGTGATTTTAAGGCTTATAAAGCCAAGACAAGGAAGGAAATTGACAGAATATATCTTTTTTCATCGATACGTAGATACAGGTTTAATTGGTTCCGTTGTGAATCAGACCTGTAGCTCTTCAAGCAGAGGGTAACTTGAGAATGAGAACCAACAGTTCCTTTAATGTTAACTGAGAATCTAACATTAGCTCCAGGGTGTTCAGGCTGTTCAGTCTACCAACAGGAATTTTACCGCCTGTAAGTATGCATTATGCAAGACCCCGGCATCCGTTTTAACTCTTCGTTTCCAAATTTCAAATTCTCGCACCATTCGAACACTTTCTCTGTGTTTCCACGATATTTGGGAGCCCTCTCGACGAAATTCAGTATTCACTCTTTATTTACCATTTTTTCTTCTAAGTTGTCGGACTAAAATAGTACATGAATGTATCTGTAGAATATTAGAAAAAGAAAATTATTTAACCTTCTTGTTTATTACTAATATGTTGCTATATGGAAATGTCAGAGAGGGCCTTGAATATTTTAGTATGTTTACAACCTAGAGTAAGATAGAAAAATAACTATATCTTCCTCAGAATTAATCAGATAGAGATTTCAGGTGTACTGTTGTGAATCAGACATTCCCTCTCTTTATAAATGTAATGTCACTTGAAAATGTCGTCTTTACAAGTTTTCAACAAATGCCTCAAATGTTGATTATCTAAGCCCAATATCTTTGCAACAAAATGTTGTAAATGTTAGATATTTCAAACTATGATTTCTGTATGATCAAATAATCAAATAAGTTTGAAAAACAAAGGTCGGTTACAAAGATATAGGGATGAGAAAATCTAAGTGTGTGGCAAAGACTCAATTCTTTTCATTAAAAAAATAGAATAAATATTTTTATCTTTAACTAATACTCGAAAGTCAATCGTACTTTCTAAAACACTTATCACAATCTTTAGATTTAAAAGAAAAAAAGAAAAAAATTAAAGTTGGATAAAAAAATAGCAGCTTAAAACACCCATCTTTGTCTGGAAGTCAAGGGATTCATGAGTTCTAATCAGACAAAAACAAGCAAAGATTATTAATTTGTAAATAAAGATGTATTTTATGATTAGAAAATATTATGAAAAATTATCAAATTTTACATTTCTTGTTCGCATGAAAAACTAGACATTTTTTTACTTTATTTAACTTAATGAATAATGAAAAAAATGATGTAAGTAGCTGTAATGTATTTCTTAATTATGTTAAGATTTTTTGGAAAGTTGCTATGAGAGATTGAAGTGGTGGGAAAGAAATGATTTTTATTTTACAAAGGGTTTTTATTATTTTTTATATATATTTCCTATATTTAGGATTATAAGTACAAAGTGGGTATATATCTCCTATATTTAGGATTATATGGACAGCGTGGATATATATCTCCTACATTTAGGATTATATGTACAGGTTGGATATATATCTCCTATATTTAGGATTATATGTACAACCTGGATGTATATCTCCTACATTTAGGATTATATATGTTCAGGTTGGGTTTATATATTTCAGATATTTAGGATTATGAGTACTGGGTGGATATATATTTCTTATATTTAGGATTATGAGTACAGGGTGGATATATATCTCCTATATTTAGGATTATATGTACAGGGTATATTTCTTATATTTAGGATTATGAGTACTGAGCTGGGAACTTTTGAATGGTGGATATCGGGATTAAGGGTTAATACACTCTTTTTCTTAATCTCCAGATTAACATAATCTTGCAAGATTATCTTAAAAGTGTATGAAAAACGATAAAATTCAAATTAATATTTAATCATCTGAGAAACTGTTGCAGCCAATCAGAGAAAAGCGGGCAACCAATGAGAGAACAGAAATATTCTCATTGGAGAAAACAATTAACGGATATCCAAGGAGAGAGAAAAAGAGTGGATTAAGGACTAAAATGAAAAGTTTCCACAGTGGATATTCGGATCAAGAAGTCAGGATTAAAGTTTATCCATTCTAAAGTTTTCAGCTCAGGGTGGATGTATATCTCCTACATTTAGGATTATGAGTACAGGGTGGATATAAATCTCTGTTAACACAAATTCGAAATACAAGGAAGACGATTTTACCAACTCAGATGTCGTTGATTATTTTCAAGACATATGAATCTATTTCTGCCGGTCCGCCCACATGTCACCCTCGCTCCTTTGTTCCCCCTCCCCACCCCTCTACACATCCCAGCCCTCAGTCAGGTTAGGAGAGTAGAGCTAGTAACAGCTCCGACACAGGGAACCTCTTGACTCCTTCATGATGATGATACAGATACTCAGCTAACAACAGGCGTGCTTATACCTGAGGGTTACCAGTTCATCATGCATTCCAGAGACAACATAATCGCTCAAAGCCAGCATGACAAGCCACGATCTCTACCTACTAATTTTGATAAGCCCTGTTGTTCCAGTTCCTGTTGATCTGCTCCACTAACATGAAGCTCTACAACACTCCCATGAAGTGCCCACAAATATTCATCATTAATTCCTTTGTTTATTTCTAAACCAACCAATTTTAACCCTGTCTTATGCAAATATTTCAAAACTTTCGTTTTTTTAAATAAATTTTAGAAATATCCATTTCAGATATCTTTGTTTTATTATAGTGACTTTTTAAAGTCAACAATCTCCTACATTTAGGATTAAATGTACAGGGTGGATATACATCTCCTATATCTCTAACAAGCGTAAACAAACACAACGTGGATTTGGATTTGGTGAGTTACGAAATATATTGCATAAAGATAAATTAGTTTGAAGATGTTAACTTCACATTTCTTAAGCAAATTTATTTTGGTCAAGGTAAACCCACCAAAAAAAAAAATATAAAAAATTTTTCTTCAAAAGTTTACACTTTAAATTGTTCCCTTTCTTTTGACGAGATCATATCAATTTATGTAATAAATCTCTTCACTCATATAAATATTCCTGGGTATACTTAAACTAGGGTTTCCAACGCAAGTTAATTTTACTTGCGCGAAAATGCGAGCCCTGAAAACCCCGTGCAATTTGAGAACAGTTTCGTGAAATTTTGCGTAACGGAATTCCAATTGGAAACCCTAGACTAAGTACCCTGGGGGTGACTCGAATTTGAAATTTTTCATTTCATCTAGTACTAAATAAATGTAAAATTACATTTTCATGTCAGGTAGAAAATGAAGGAAACCCTGAGAACTTGAATTTAGATTTCAGGTGAACACTTAGATTTTTAAATTTAATTTCTATTCTCTTAAAATCATTCTCACAAGAAAGGAAAGGAAACTCTCAAAATTCTGCATTATGTTAAGTTTTAATTGTTTGATTGTTATTTATCATTTGTGCTTCCTCTGTCAGAAATTGTACGTTTAGGAAGTCACTTGGGAAATTGTACATTTGGGTAGTAGAACTTGAGAAATTGTACATTTGGGTAGTAGAACTTGAGAAATTGTACATTTGGGTAGTAGAACTTAGAAAATTGTACATTTGGGTAGTATAACTTGAGAAATTGTACATTTGGGTAGTAGAACTTGGGAAATTGTATATTTGGTTAGTAGAACTTGGGAAATTGTACATTTGGGTAGTAGAATTTGGAAAATTGTACATTTGGGTAGTATAATTTGAGAAATTGTACATTTGGGTAGTAGAACTTGGGAAAATGTACATCTAGGTAGTTGAACTTGGGAAATTGTACATTTGACTTGGGAAATTGTACATTTGGGTAGTAGAACTTGAGAAATTGTACATTTGGGTAGTAGAACTTGAAATTGTACATCTAGGTAGTTGAACTTGGGAAATTGTACATTTGACTTGGGAAATTGTACATTTGGGTAGTAGAACTTGAGAAATTGTACATTTGGGTAGTAGAACTTGGGAAATTGTACATCTAGGTAGTTGAACTTGGGAAATTGTACATTTGACTTGGGAAATTGTACATTTGGGTAGTAGAACTTGGAAAATTGTACATTTGGGTAGTTGAACTTGGGAAATTGTACATTTGATTTGGAAAATTGTACATTTGGGTAGTAGAACTTGGGAAATTGTACATTTGGGTAGTAGAACTTGGGAGATTGTACAATTGACTTGGGAAATTGTACGTTTGGGTAGTAGAACTTGGGAAATTTTACATTTGGTAGTAGAACTTGGGAAATTGTACATTTGTGTAGTAGAACTTGGGAGATTGTACATTTGGTTAGCAGAACTAAGGACATTGTACATTTTGTTAGTAGAACTTGGAAAATTGTATATTTAGAATAATTTTACTTGGTAAAAAGGAAGTTATCAACCTGGAAAATTGTACATTTTTATAGTAGTACTGGGAAAATTGTACATTTTTAAACCAGTACTTGGAAAATTGTACATTTTTATAGTGGTACTTGAAAAATTGTACATTTTTTTAGTGGTACTTTGAAAATTGTACATTTTTATAGTGGTACTTGAAAAATTGTACATTTTTTTAGTGGTACTTTAAAAATTGTACAGTTTTATAGTGGTACTTGGAAAAATGTACATTTTTACAGTAGTACTTGGAAATTGTACAGTTTTAAAGCAGTACTTGGAAAATTGTACATTTTTACAGTAGTACTTGGAAATTGTACATTTTTAAAGCAGTACTTGGAAAATTGTACATTTTTATAGTGGTACTTGGAAAATTGTACGTTTAAAAAGTCGTTACTTGGAAAAATGTCTGTGGGAAACAACATTTGGAAAAGCCCTATACACCATTGGCAATTGGGAAGGCTAAGCCAACATATAGAAACTGGTTTTACATTACAATAATCTGTTCACAAATATTTTTTGATTGAAATAAATAAATTTGTGAAAATTTCCGTTTAAATTCGAAATATATTTGATTTTTTTAATCAGAAGAATATTTTCAGATCTGCTGACTTTGGTATTGATGGATACAAACAGTTTATCAGGAAACTAAATATATTTTCAGTAATTCGAACAAGAACAGAAATTACATTAAATTCTATGATTTGATAGAAACTAGTTAGATTTTATTTTCTGGACCAAAGAGGAGCAGAACTTTATATTCTTAATTCCTTTAGAGCTAGAAATTCTAGGATTGTAAATATCGAGATCACTGCTTGATCTCATATTTTTAATTTAACTGAAGACTAATTTTATCTTACGTTAATATCCGGGTAATCATCTAAACTGCAGCCAATCAATTGTGGAATGTAGAAACTGAAAAGCCAATCGGAGCGCAAGACATTTTGAAATTTTGCGCGCGCAATCAATGGGGAAACTCTACCATGTGTGCTCAGTTATAGCTGTACTGTACACTTACAACTGTTTACTAATATTGATATACTATAGGTTAGGTCAGAATCAACTTTTAATAAACAAATATGTATGTTATGTTATGTATGTATATGTTATGGCCTATAAAATTAGTAAAGGATTAGCGTACATCATCACTCTATACACTATAACCTCGTTGGGAAACTCTGGTTTGTTTACAGCAGGGATATCCAAAAGAGAGGATTAAGCAGAAAATCAAAATGTCAACAGTAGATAATTAATCGCTTTTGGATATTTCTAATTAGATCATACCAAATTCAAAAGCGACAACAATTTTGTTCTCAGTTCATGCATCGCAAAAATACGACTCACCTATCTTTACGAATTGAGCCTCAAATCAAAAGTTTCCGCTTTATGTTGTACATGGTTGTACAATAAAAGACGAAGACGATGTTTATTAATGTTTCTAAAAACTATATTTGGTTCAGCACTAAAACAGAAGAGTTTGACAAGGAGACAAAAGAAATGAATAAACAAATGGAAGCGTAAGTTTATTATTTTTATCAAAAATAGGAATGAGGGAAACAACAAATCATTTATCTGGGTGAATTATTCTTACAAATAATGCTTAATGAAATAAATAAAACCAATCAGGAATTATCAAATCATTGAACCAAGCAAGTTAGTTAGAATTATTAATAAACCCAACCAACCGCGAACCAAAAACGTATCGTCTAATTGACCCTGATGTTACGATTAAGACGTTCATTGTGTTTATCATATATTTAATAAATACTGATTTTCAGCAAATGTCCATTTTGCTCAGTAGGTCAACAAATGTTCAAAATTTGTTTAGCATGTCAAATAACGGTTATTTGCTTAAAATGCCAAATAACGATCATTTATTTTAAAACGTCAAATAATTGTAATTTTGTTAAAAATGTTAAATAGCGGTAATTTTTTTTTATATGTCAAGTCAAATAACTGTAGTTTATGTTTAGAATGGAGGGAGATCTTCTTGCGAAACTTTCTCAGCTAGAGACACAGTTAGAAAATAAGCAACAGGTATTCTCTCATTTTAAACTCCAAACTATTAACTAATCTGGTCACTCTGAACCCAATCCCATGTGTTATGTCAAATATGAAAAAGCAGTAATTTTCCAAGAAACTAGATCCAAAAGTCAGAATATTTGTCTCCAGAAGTCCGAATCTTTGGATCCAGAAGTCAGAATTTTTGGATCCAGGAGTCTGAATTTTTGGTTCCAGAAGTCTGAATTTTTGGATCCAGAAGTCAGAATTTTTAAATTGTGAATCTTGGGATTAAACACTGATCTCAGTCTTAAGAAGACTTTTCCCATTCCATATCCCGTGGTGGTCATGAACTTAAATTGAGTGATCAAGCATTTAACCGCAAATTGGAAAGTGCCCGCGTTGGATATCGAGATCAAACGTTCAAGATTACCGATATTCTACACAAAAGATCTGACCTTAAAAAGATTTAATGCTTTTTATCTTGTGTAAACAAAAGGTTGGCTATAGTAATGTACATTTTCTTTGGGTACATCACACATGTGTACTCTTTTGAGGGGTTCAAGGAGCTTTCAAAGACTTATTTTAATCCTTGATTTGTTATAATTTATGATCATTTATTTGTAGCAACCAAATCGAATAATTGCGTAAAAGTATACTGTTGAATTGTTAAATAACTACATATGGTTGCTTAAGGGTTGGGGGGGGGGACGTCCCCCTCCCTGGAAAAGTAAACCCCTGTACAAATGGCAAAACTATTGAGAGGGGGCAACTTCTAGTCTCTAGTTTTTTAACAAGGGATTTAAAAAAATAAAATAATTTCCCTGAGGCACCATTTGTCAGCCAAAATTTTGTCATTTTGGAAACTATAATTAAAAATGTCAAAAGTCGCCAACTTGTAAGGATTGCATCATAAGAAATAGCAAAATACTTATAAAACTCCAGGGCTGTAGGGTGGGGGGGTAGATGAACTAACCGTTGTTTTACTTACAATGAAATCACTCATTGACTCAATTAAACTAACATGCTTTTACAGGAGGAGAAAACTCTTAAGCAGGAAATGGATAAGATGGGAATTCAGGTTATTATATGCCTATATCTAAACTAGATTGGGGACACAGCGATTCACAGGGTACTCATAGTTAATTCCGCAGTTTACCCGCACTTGGTCGATTTTACCGTGAAACTAAATTTTCGCTTTCAAAGTCAACCAACTCAACTTAAAATCTCAAAACCAAGCTAAGGACATTTTAGAGGTTCTCCCGAGCTTCCCAATCAAAAATTGAGGCAAATCAGTCTAAGGGTTCCTGAGTTATGATCGGACAAACAAATAGACAAACAGAGATTACAACTTTAAATAAATAGATACTAAAGTTTTACGACAACCATTATTTTTAAAATATCCTTAAATTTATTATTGCCAAAATCTTTAAAAATACAGGGTTATCCAGAAATAGTAAGTCTTTAGACATACTGTTCGGAATCAATTGAATTCTTATTTTATTTAAGCTAAGGGAAGAACTTTTTCATAGAAAATTTCATATTTTGCACCAGAAAAAAGTATACAGTAGTAAATTAGAAGCAACATTCATTATGGAAAAAAACATTGAACAAATCCAAACTAACTTAGTAATTGAGGAATAAAAAAACCTGGTACAAAGGAATGTCGTTTTTTCATTTTTTAAGGATATGGGTATATAGAAAGATCTGTATATAAAGTAGTAATTCTGTTTGTTTGTTTGGATGTCCGAATATAACTCATGAACCTGATAGATTTCCCTCAAAATTTTGACAGGGAACTCTGTAGAATTCCGCAAATGTTTTAAAAATTATTATTTCCTAATTGTTTCATATTCTTAGGATTCTGAAGATTTCGACAAGTTGGTGGGAGAGAATATTGTAGATTCAAATGATGTCGGAGAGGGATTTTTTCAAAGTTTATAAAATTTATCTTAAACATAATCAAATTCAATATTTTTAGACTCGAATTTTAATCTTAAGTTTCAAATTCAACTAAGGGCTACACACATAGATTCAGCCTGCTTATTTTTAAGACAGGGTTGACTTTTACCGCTCTAACTCACTTATGCTTTTCTGTAGCCCTTTACATGTACATTTTAGCACCATAAAGCACTTGTGGTCAGCTTTGGTTTTTAAGAAGTAATTGGCAAAATTCTCATAGATTTTTGCCTGAGAGCTTGAAACCTTTAAATCACGATTTACTTAACGTTACAAAAATACATGCTATGACTAAGAGATCTTTTTTAACCCTATCCCTGCTGGGGTACTTGAAAACCAGGATACGCCCCTCTAAATCCCATGTTTTATGTCCAAATATGACAAATGATACATCATTAGAAAGCTCTTGTGCTCTACTTTTAGAATCTGCAAAAAAATTTGCAAATTTGCGAAAATTGAATTTTTTCTCGTAAAATCCAGTTTTATATTAAAAATGTTTGCGAAAAAAATTTGTCCAAAAAATGGCAAATTATACATTTTTGAAAAGCCCTTGACCATGCCATTTCAAATATGCAAAAATTTTTGCAAAATTTTAAATAACCTGATTTTTAATCAAGAAAAACTAAAAATGTGCAAAGGAATTGAGTTTTTGCCACAACCTCAAATTTTCTAATTTCTATATCTCTGCAACCAGTGGGTATAAAACCTTTGATATTTCAAACTTAGATTATTTGATCTAACAGAATTAATAGTTTGAAATATCTAAGGTCTACGACATTGGGTTGCAAAGATATAGGGATAAGAATATTTGAGTTTGTGGCAAAAACTCAGTTCCTTTCCTTTGACAGGTTGTTTGCAAAAAATTTGCAATTTTTTTTTTTCGCAAAACTTGTGCAATTCGTTTCATTATATCATAGGCTTTCCAAAAAGCTAAATTTTATCAAAATCTGACAAGTGAAAGTGGGTCAAAACAAAGATTTAGTTTGTTACAGGCAAAAGCAGTCATTCAGGCAGTGTGCCTGAGGACTCAGGCAGTTAGTATTAAAGCCCGGTTTTAGGCCTAAAGGGAGGGCTTTGGGTATGTAAGAAAAGTCAGAAAATTTAAACAGTCTCAGACCAATACTTTTTGAGTTATGTAAAAAAACTACAGGGGGGGGGGTCAAATTGACCCCCCCCCCCCGCCGGAATAGGGTTAAAAGAATTTTTTTTAAATAAGTCGAAAATATCAAAGAAAGCTTATGTGGCATATACAGGGTGTCCCACGAAACATGACATTTAATAAATCGTTATTTTTAGTCAAAAAAGCTTTTGCTTCATTATCTTTTACTTTGAAATCAAGTTTAATATAACATGACTCCCATATAATATTTTTATTGATCTTTGGTATCAAACAACTTAACAAATTCTGGAAAAAGACATTCTAAACTATTCACCAACTGTCATGTTTCGTGGGACACCCTGTAAGTTTAAAAATCACCAATTTAGCCGAATAAAACCAATTGTTATCCTATCATTAATCTGATTTATGACATGATCTAATAAAAACATTAAACTTTAAAACTGTAAATCTTATTAAGTCCCTGTGAGGAAAATTTGAAAAAATGTATTTAAGAAAATATCTGAGAACATGATTATATCTCCTTATTGGATAAAAGGTAACCTAATCAATGTTAAGAATTATTAGTTTAAGTTTACAAATAATTTAATCTCCTTTAATATCATAATTTGACAATCATCAAGTTAAATTTCCCTGCCAGGTTTTCCAATAGTCTTTAAAGGGACAGTAGGCGTATTTTTAAGTAACCCTCCAGTTGTAAATTAGCGTGTCCGATTCACAACAGTACCCTTTAAACTTTCACTGATCAAGGATGTCGGAATTTGTCTTATCAATCTACAGAAACGTTTGCCATTGTTAAACACCTTCTTTGCAAGCTGTTTTATAGAAATTAAAAAATTTTACAGCAAAACTATTTGTTTTGCAACTACATCAAACCCCATTAAAGATTAATGTGTTAATGTCGTCTTCATATTCCAAAATTTGCTGGTTTCATTGAATTCACTCCGAAATATATTTATAAAATTTTAAAACATTTAGAATTAAACTTAAGAATGAATACCTATGTTTTTATTGTTATTTAAATTATCGTTTAAAATCTCTCAAAATCAAAAATGAAACTATGAGCTTGCGCAATATATATGTTAGCTTTAGATTCACAAACTGGTATTTTTTCAGATTCTCGGAAACATTGTCAAATAATGCAAAACTAAAGAATTAATTAAAAGGCATAAGTTTGTCGCTTGGAATTTTATTAAAAATAATTTTGAATTACGATGATAAAAAAACAAATCAACCTCTAATTTTCTAATTCATAATCTTTGCAACGAGATTCGTAAAAAGGGCTGGGCGCTGTTCTCAGGGAACGATCGTTCTTTTTACGGGAACGAACGGAATTATCAAGATTCAAGAACGATGCCATTGTTCCGAAAAAAAACACATGTAATGTGTTCTTAAAAATATTGGAGGGTCTATAAAAGAACGAACAGAATTATCAAGAATGATGCCATTGTTCCGAAAAAAATACATAGAACGCGTTCTTAAAAATATTGGAGCATCTATAAAAGAACAAACGGTAATTGGTTGAAATAAACCGGTCTGGAATCGTTCTATTAGGAACGCGTTTTAAATCATCTAGAAATAATAGAAATTGGGTGAAATTTGTAGAGTTTTAATTTAAATGTATAATCGTAAATTCTGTTAGTTTGGTGGGGTTGGCCAATAGACGTGTTACCTCCCTTTACCCAACCTCTCCCCCACTCAGTCACCCCCCAAAAACTCATTCCAACCCGTTCCTTGGAACCGTTTTTAAACCCGTTCTTGATCAAAACCACAAAGAACGGAACGGGGATGGAACGACTGAAATAAGAACGAACGATCTAGCGGAAGAGCACGTTATAGAGCGAAAAACGAACGATTTAAAAAAAAACAGGAAAACGCCCAGTCCTTGAAATTTCGGATTCTCTATTTTGTGAAGAATGTTTTCTAATTGGTTTAAAATTATCTCGTACAGGAAAATAATTCCTTAAAATCTAGAAACATCATTTTGTTTTACTTTAACAAATGTTATACCCCTTCCACTGTCTGAAAACAAATGTTATACCCCTTCCACTGTCTGAAAACAAATGTTATACCCCTTCCACTGTCTGAATCAGTAATATTAAATGATCCTTAGTTTCTTAAATCTTCAATAAAAGATTTAATCTTGAATTAAAGATTGTTTTATTTAAGATTTGTCTGAATGGGAAGAGATTAAAAACTCAACAGGAACACAATAAACAATAAACAAAATAAAAAAGTTTTATTTAAAAAAAATCCTTAAACTGAAAACAAAACAAGATTAAAATATGGCCGAAAAGGCTCTTTTAATTTTGTATGATTTTTTTGTGTGCTTTTTATGGTGAGTCATTGACACAAACTCAAATTTTTTAATCCCATCTTTACAACATAATGGTGTAAACTTTTGACATTTAACAGAATTCAAAGTTTGAAATACCAAGGGTTGCAAATATAGGGATTAGAAAATCCGAGTTTGTGACCAAGACTCGTACAAATTTACAAATATGGATATAAATAGATAAATAGGTAAATATATATTTTCTCTTGGATTCGACGTAGTTTGAGCGTCTATTATTTGATTGGTTAGTTGAGATTTCTATTTAAAGCATTTTACTAATTGTTTTCCAGATATTGTAATAATAAACGTATATATTTATTTTTATAGATATATATATTTAAATATCTGAATTGCAAATCAGATCTTTTGCCAATTTAATATTGAAATCAATTATACAAATTTTCAAGGCCTGAGGTTTCGTGTTTTAAGTTAAATGGGTTGTAGTTTTATTGCGGACCTGAAACAATAAAGAAGTTGTAAAAGATAAACAAATTCACAAAAAATATATTTTTACTGTTAAAAACAACTCAAAGAAGTTCGTAGTAAGATTTCGATTCTACTGGAGACCACCGGAGGGATTTTATTTTCACTGGAGGGGTTTCAAAAAATGGTTTTTACAATTTAAAACTTTACGCAGGGTGATTTACATTCCACTGGAGGGATTCAGATGTCCTTCCTGGAGGGTTATAATTGCACTGGAGGGATTCAGTTATCCTTCCTAGGGGTTTATAATTCCACTGGAGGGATTCAGTTATCCTTCCTGGGGGTTTA